AATACCCTTGCCACCCCAGTTGGCGTATTTTTTTTGAAAGAAAAGTTGTGGCTAATCGGACATTTATGAGAGAAAATCTCTAATGTCCGAGTGCAAGTGAATGCAGCACAAGACGCGAGTCTTGTGCCCGGCCCTGGCGCAAGCTTGGAAATATGATTGGCGGCGATTTCATTTGAACGGGGGACGGTGTTACAGTATAACTTGAGTCATGACAACTGGCGTCATTCTATTATTTTAGACAGGGGCGTGGCCTTCGACTGAAATACACATTTCGATCGCTTCTTCTGTCGTTTATATTCATCTGTTGGTATATTTGGCTGGATAGGAACACTTTGATGCACATTCAGTCCCAGTGTGTGAGGTTGTGGTTGCGATGTCTGTTCAAAACATTGCAAGCTTGAATAAATCATTTAAACCAGTTATTGTTGCCAGACTTATTACTGAATATCATTGTTAATGTGATACCAAGTCCATCTGAGACCTGTTTACACCTTCAGACAGCCTCCAAGTGAAGCACACGTTGTTTACTCACAGTTTGAAAGCAGCGTGGAGAAGTCTTCAGCTGTGGAGAGCTCCAACCAGGATAACTTGTGATACGACTTCTGTGGCTTGTTCTTGTTATCAGTCTTATTTGTATCATATATGATCGTTATTAATATGATGTGACCCGTTTATACTTTCATACAGTCTGTTAGTGAAACATACAGTCTGTCTGAGTTGTTATTATATTATTCCTTGTTATTGTTGTCTTTCCATCTGTCGGTGTTGATTATACCTAGCTACTACATAACGAAACACATGGCCTAATTTGCATATTTGAACTTAATGTGTGCACTAGAATACATTTACATGTGAAATGACCACTTACCACAACGTAATGTAGGCTCGCAGGCTGATCAACTAGGATATCTGATCTCGGTGGGTCTTAATGAGGCTTGATACAGACCTCAGTCAGTATACTATTTAAAAGCAAATGCCTACTATAATATGTATATTATATGGCTCATTCATAACGCGCATGGCTCGAGTGATTTTTGCTATTGGGACTCGGGTTTGAGTCCAGCATGAACTTTTTTGTTATTTTCATGTCGATGGACACTGAATAATATTTTTGAATAGAGGATTCATAAGGATTCATAATATTGTTTGGAATTGTATTCCATGGAATGATCTTAACATCCCGATAGCAATGAATACATTAAATGTTTGACAATAAATAAAATAAAATGTAATCTGTGGAAGCCGTAGCACTGTACAAAGCACGACCAATCATTTGAGCCTGCCTGTCAGCCTTCCATCTCGTGCACAAATGTATCTCGTGTCCATCAGCACCATATAGATAGGCTTAGGGTTAGGTGTCCATTGGTCATATGCGCGTTCGTGTGTGTTGGAGGAGGGGCTCTGTAAGGAAGTCTGAAGGAAGGGGCAGATTTTTTCCGGTTGTGTACTTTCAAATATAGCGCACTCGAGCTGGTTTCTCCATTAAGGGGAACATAATTTAGACTAAATAGACCACCAAGAACACATTTCTGACAAGTGTCAAATATCTGAAATGTGACATATGTCGGCTTTAATGGTAAAATAACTAATATGTATAACTTAATTAATGATTGCATGCAATTTTACCTATTAAAACATGGCGATAAATCATTTTATTTTGTAGGTTTCAACCTTTATATATAGTCTATGGTTTCAACGGGATGTGCTTATTATGTGTAATTGTATGCTCTTGACGCAAATGGTATATGTAGTGTCACTGTAGCCACTAGAGGGCAGACAAGTAAAACAACCGTGAAGTTTGGTGATACTTACACAACACAATTACAAGTAACTAAATGAATAAATACGTACAAAAAAACAAGTTAAATTAAAATAATAAAGCTTGACGTAGTCCTTATTATTTACAGAGAAATACATTTAATGTATACATGTTTATATGTCAAAAATATGATTCAATTACATTTCTGTTTAGCAACATCACTACACTAGGTTTTTATCTCCAAAGACCATGGTTCAAATTCGCATTTTAAAACAGAGTTGTCCAGTATTACAAAAATAACTTGAAACATAAAACCTACATCCCTATTTCAGCAGCTCAGCTGGGACTTCTTCACAGCAGAAACATCCACTTCAAGGCTTTTAGGATTTAAATACATTTCTTGTAAAAAATCATTTCAGGAATGAAAATAAGGCACCGACACAGTGAGCTTTTGAGGAGATGCCTTGGGTGTTGGTTTTTAATAACTTAGAAAACATTTATGTTACAGCAATACTACAGTAACAGTACAACAGAGAAATGCAAGGAGCCACCTTCACGTTCAGTGGAGCCTCTGAATCACGCCACTGGGTCTGAACATTAGAAAAGCAACAGATGTTGCCAGTGCCAACAGAGTCACGCCGGGTTCAGTGGAATGATGTGGGGCTGGGGGCATGAACACACACTACTCCCCGTCCTGCTCTAACAGGTGGGTGGGGGGGGGGGTTCATCTTGCCTTTAAGAGTTCTCAGAGGGTGTTATCACTGGTCTCCAAATGCTGTCACAAACTCTCCACCAGGACAAAAAGTAATCCGGTGTAACAGATTGAATGTTGGTTCTGAATCTATATTTAAAACGTTTTTCTGAGTCTAATTGAGCTCATCAATTATAAGAAATATTTGTGATGATACAATAATGTGCTTCTGCCTTAAGGAGGGTTTTCCAATACACTCTGTTTAAAATCTAAGAAATGTAATCTCGACATGTACGTGCAATGGGATCTTCAGAACAACACGTTATCAAACAAGTTAGCAGGTAATGAGTCCCTGTACCAAGAGTATTTATTTCATGTATTTGGACTTTCCCCAAAAGGAGGTCCCAAAACACCTGAGCATTCACAGGAAAGTACCTGAAAGAACATTTAGACACTTAATGAAGAGGCCCAGTGATCAGGCAGAAGCAACAATGTGCTCACTGAGACATTTTTAAAATGGAACAAAATCTGAAAAAAACCTAAGTTTCTTTGTCTGAAGGATTCCTCTGTTTGTACATCTTCAGTTTCAGGATGCCCTTCACATCTTTTTTTCATTTGAGTTTTGGTCTGCCAACTGACAGAAGCATTTCCCCAGAGGTGCTAAACACTGTGACATCACTCCGCACAGGAAACATTCCTAACGTTGGAATCAGCCCGTCCTCCAACTCTGTGTACCGGCGGCGCTCCTCTGCCTTGCTCAGTGGTAAAGGAAAGAAAGAAAATGTTTCTGTTTGAATCTTTGCTGGTTAAGGAGCACTGCTAATTCAAACTGCATTCACCCAGAAAGCTCCAGAGAGGATGGGAGAGTGAACTTGGATAACGCTAATGAAATATAAATCACTGACTTTTGTTGTGTTTGAAAGCAGTGCTTATTATATGAAACATGTGATAATCAGGCTCAGAGGAGATCAGGCCGTCTCCATCAAACTGAAGAAGGAGCTTCTGGATTTCAGATCAAGTCAAATCACTCACAGCCTTGATGATAAAACATGTGTGACATGTTTTTCACGCTGAATAAAGGTCTAGCTGAGCATCAGGTAGCTAAGTCTTTATCTGATCAAACTAGAACGCACTGTGTTGTTTTACATATCCTCTTTCTACTGAAAAAAGCCCATGTGTCTGAACTTCAATGTGTACTTTATTTGACTTGACTAATGTTTACTGACTTACACAACAAGTGTCTCCGTTTAGTTTATTTTAGTTTCAATTTCAAATGATTTCACGACTATTAACATTTTGCTTATCATAAATATATGTTTCTTAGTCTATTAATGTTAATAGCTAGCGGACATTTTGAAATGTCAAACGATCATATTTTTGCAGAAAGAAAGTACCAGTCAAATGTGAGGTGTTTAAGGCGAGACACGGCAGGCAAAAACATCGTTTTTCAAGTACTGGTCAATTTTGAGATTTTGTGCTATTTTGATTCCATAACATGTTTTCTTTCAGGCTTTTGGAAGGAAAACGTACAAAATACACATTTAAGTGTTTATTTTACTATAGTTTGTCTATTTGCGTCTGTAGATTTCTCCTAAATTCACCAAAAGTTAGCATTCTAACGTAACATAAAGTACCGCGACCGCTGTTTGCACCATGTCAACAGAGGTATCGCTGGAAAGCTCCGTCTCTCCTGCACAATCTCATCGGATCCAAATATGGTCATTTCCTTTGTATCAGCAACCAATCGTGAAAGCACAAAGGGGTCTTAAACCAAGAAACGAAATCTCATTGGCTGGTGTCAATTTCTGACAACGTGATTCGTTCAGATGCGTCACGTGGTGTGCTAAAACACTTCCTGGTTAGCTTTCAGCTAGAAATTGAAATCTCAAAATGCCAAAAGAACGGCGAAAAAAACGTTCACAGAGAAGACGACAACAATTGTCACTTGCACGAAGCAAGGTTATAAACAAAAAATGACCCTGAACATGAAATACCTTCACGGAGTGCGTCGATGCGCAAGCTATCATCCAGAGAACAGGAGGGTTTAGCTAGCGCCTCACTGCAATCTTTAAAGGTCGTTTTCTCAAATTGAGTTTTTTCTCCTACTCTGAGTTCGAAATTTCAACTTCAGTAGCACGTAGAGACACCAAACCTTCCAGTTATATTCCTATCAATATTATGAAGGCTTTTACAGAAGGGTTTGTTCATATATAATTCATAGCCTGAATTATACAACATTGTATACCTAAAAACATGGCGAAAATTGATATTTTAGGGCTGTTGACAGTATTTTCTGATTTATGGAATGATAAAAAGAGATATCCAATATCCCTTCTGTAAAAGCCTTAGATACTAATATGACTACAAAATGAAACAAGAATTTTGAATCTGGCTATATCCAAAGTTCAGATTTCGATTCCTGAAATGTGTTAAAATATGTGCATATTTAATGAGATAATGGCTCATTTGCATATTTAAACATGCTATTTCAGAAAACTTGTAATACAAAAGACAATTGCCTTATTGTAAGTAATTAACTGGAGAAATTTCTAGCTGATACCTTTAAGTTAAAAAAATTACCCTATTCACCTGGGGTGTCTCGCCTTAAAGAATGTGGCAGCAGTGGGAGTGACTTTAGAGCTCGATATCTGTTCTCACAGTTTGGACATCATCTGTTTTCAGCTCAACTAAACCTTTGTACTGACACCAAGTCTGCCCTCTGCAGGAAGTCACTAATCTCAGCAGGTCAGAGGCTGTCAGAGCTGGACGACTATCATGTGACTGTGACGGAATGTTCCATTCTGCTTGGCAGGGACCCTCCGTCAACACACCTCCACTGGAACACCAGAGGAAACCTCTAAATATGTCTGGGCAGTTTATGGATATCATTCAGATATCATGAGAATACATTTGGAATCTTTAAAATCCTAATATTGTAATTAACGTACTTTCCTGATTTGAAAGGCTGCATTACAGGCTGATTTTCTATGTTGTATTATTTGTCTTTACCCACTAGGTCATTATATCCACATCACAGATGATTAGTTATCAAAAATCTACAATATGCTTGCTATATCAATATGGTGTCTCAGGTATAAAATCAGATGTGTGACTCCACATGAAGGTGAGCAGTGTTCTGCAGAGTGAACAGGAGCAAAGCAGCGACACCCCCACACACCTCCTCTCCTTCATATAGAAAATATAACACTATCTTTTACAACAGGACTAAGAGAACAGACATCTATTATCTTACAGCGTACAAGGCAGAGTCTGTACAGCAGACCTGGGACCAGCAGAGAGAGGAGGGTGAAGCAACACTTCAGCTGTGAGCCAACAGTATCAGACTGTGGGGGGCAGGGGCAGCTTATTGATGCACGTTCAGGTGATCCTGGTCAACTTGAGTAAAGGGAAGTCATTGAATGGAGCATCCATCATTTACACCCTGAACCATGGCCGTACGCAGGATTTTATAAATACGGAGGTCCTTGAATCATCCTGCTAGGGGGGTTCAGGTGTCCCCACAAGCATTTTGGATTTCCCTGCAGTAGATATGTGCTTTTTTAAGACATTTGAGGGAGCAGACGTTGGATAACAAGTAGATTTAAAACCATGAGTGATCTCTGAAGTAGTTCTGCGTGAGAATCAGATCAAATGCTGCTGGACATGCAGAGGAGGATACAATGATCTAAATTCATGTTGTCAACGTTGTGTTGAGTTGTTGACGTTAAGGTGACGCCATCTCTCTCTGGGATCTACTCTCTCTGGGATCTACTCTCTCCCTATGGCTCCTGCCAGAGGTTACCAATTCATTTACTGTGTTATTCCTTATTTGTCATTCCATCTTTGTGTTAGTATAACCTTCATCCCGTTAGCCACCTGTAGCAAACTGTAGCAAACTGTACACAACTAAGTGATGGAAGATATAGGAAAATATGAACCTGGGCTGCAACTAACTATTTGTTTTTTCTATAAAATCACATTAAATAGAATAAAATACCTAATTGGCTGACAATTTAAAACTATTCAGTTCAAGCTAATGCAAAGAACAACTAAAAGCGTTCAGCAGCTCCTCAGAGAGTCAGCACTGAGCTCACCTCTGCAGAATGCATTTTGACTTTCCCAGTTGACAAGGAGCACCTGAACGCACCGCAAGTGTTGCTGAAGCTTTGATGTGGGGCGGGGGGCTTCAGTTTGACCCCTCATCAGTCCCAGCAAATAATGAGTACTGCAGTTGCATTTAAAAGCTCCACAGCATTTGCTTCATGATGTTCCAACTGACCTCCAGTAGGATCCAACCAGCAGATAGTTTACAGACGGGAAGAGCAACATGTGTACAGACAATAGTCCCTCTGAGCTCCTGTGGCTAATGGACATTCATATTCCACTATCATTCCCACTCTCACAAAGCCCTGCTCCTCATGACATACATGACCTGTAACCAGTTCCTAATTCCAACTGCAGTCATGGTGCCCCCCCCGCTGCTCTTTACATGATCTGAAGGAAATCATATTTAGGAGTGTGCATGTAACAACTACCCAACATACATTTGAAAACCTAGAGAAATCAAAGCAGAAGTATCTGCGTGGTGGGATCGTCTGGAGGTAAGAGAGGAGCCTCCGAAGAGTTACGGTGACACCGACTCCTCTGGCTGCGGGTCGGCAAGTGCTCTGAGAATGATGAAGTGCTTTAGTATGAAGTCCAAACACTCCTGTGATTCCTGCGGTGTGAGTGTAGCCAGACACACACAGGAAGTGCAGCCAGACACACACAGGAAGTGCAGCCGCTGACACAGGAAGTGGCTCCGGTCCGGCTGTGAGGCGGCTGAGCAGAGGTGAGGATGAGTGTGAATGCATACTCCTGAGTCTGAAGTACAGTGTGTGACGGAGAGAGCACTCTAACACTCTAATACAACCACGAGGAGGAGGAGCAGCACAGGAGGGGGGGGGATCAGGATCCACGCTGTCTGTGGGTGAAAGGCATGACACTTAAAAAAGCAAACAGAAAGCCTTATCCACAAACACGGTGTTCACGTCATCATGACTGCGGACTGTTCTGGACAGAGTTTAATGTCTGGCCCTCCCCCTCCTCCTTTTCCTCCCCCTCCTCCTTTTCCTCCCCCTCCCCCTCCTGATGCGAGGGCCCGTTGTGGCAGCCGGGCTCTGCTCTGTCTCTGGGTGCAGCAGGACCCTCGGCCCCCAGCTCCTCTGGGCCCCTGGGGGTCCGATGTCTGTTTGAAGGGGACAGGCTCCGACCCCTCCTCTTTTCCTGAGTGTCACTGTCGGTCCTCCTCTCCACCTCTGAACACTTCTTCATCGTCTCTTCCTCCTCCCTGTCTTCCTCTTCATCATCAGAGTCAATGCGGTTGAGTCTTTTGCGGACTGGACGATCCTCCTCTGATGAAGACTCCGACTCAGAATCTTCGTCCTCATCCTCCTCTTCGTCAGTAGAAGGTCTCCTCTTCTTCAGCATCTGAGCGAGGCGCTTGCGTCTCTGCTGGGACAGGATCTCCCTCCTCCTCCCCCCGACCCATCTTCTCCAGGTCCTCCTCTACTCTGTTCGTCCTCTTCACCCTCTTCCTCTTGTCTCTGTCCTTCTCTAACCGTTTCTTTTTCAGCCGCCTCCCTCGCTCCCGCTCATCCTCCTCGTTCTGGTTTCTCCTCGGCCTTCCTCTCGTCCTCTTCCTCAGGGGTCTTCCTCCTCTCTTCTCCTCTTGTTCGCTCTTCGTCTCCTGTCATCATCATCTAGGTCTTCATAATTGTCCTCCTCTGAGTCTCTGGAAGACGGTGTGACTAAAACAAAAGGAACGAGGGAGGAATAAAACGTCAGTAAAACCGATGAGGTGTCCATTTGTCCTTGTGACAAATACCAACAGCAGAACTGTGAAGAAGAACATGAGCAGCCTCCACAGATTGATCATTACTGTAGCCGTTAGCTCTATAGCCCGAGGGGGTCTCTCCGGGTCATCTCCACACAATACTGAAGTCCACGGGCCAGCACTGTGAGTACCCCAAAGCTTTATGATAGAAATGTAGAGTAGGGTCCCCAGCATATAGAAACTTCCGGATGCTAGCCTGCATATGTTGGGCAATTTGCATAATTAGCAAACATTTAGTTAATTAGCATTAATTAGCATATGCAACCAATAGCTTAAAGATGGTTTGGCCGATTTGCACAATTTGGAGGTTACTGAGGATATTAAATACATTTCAGTTTTAAGCAGGAAGTGGCCATATTTTTATTCACGGTGGGGTGATTTTTATGAACTTTGGGTCGATTTATACGTTTTCTGGGATTCCATACTGCCATTTTTGATCCTAAAATGTCAGAAATGCATTCAGCATCCTCAATATCCTCCAAAACCCAACCAAAATTGTCCAAATGGTCCAGGCAACTTTTTAGCTATTGTCTGCATATACAAATGAATGCAACTTGTGCTAATTACCCAACATGTGCAACTTGTGCTGGGGACCATACTATACATTCTAACATAAAACTTTGGGGTCCCATTTTCGGGTTGGTAACAGGCAGGGCTCGAGCTTAAGGACGTCGAAAAAAATATTGTCTGGGAGGATAAAAAATAACTAGAGTTAAAATAAAAATACCCTGCTAACTCTACTACAAACGGCAATGATAATGAAACCGACTGCACGTTTTGTGTAGCACACAGTTATTAAACCTCCTTGTCAACATAAACACACACGCACAAAACATTTAGCAACCCGCGAAACACACACACGTAGCTACAGCTGTGCCGCTGGCTGACAGCCAGCCGCCCAGCTGGCTGTCAGCCAGCCGCCCAGCTGGCTGTGCCCGCAAATTCCTGTCCCGCAAATTCGCGGGTCTAGCTAAGTACTGAGTGTGTGTATTTCGCGGGTTGAGTGATGTACAATGACAATGACATCCCGTGGAGGAATTCTGAAATGTTTTACCGTTACATCACAAAAACGCACAGCAGAACCAGACCCTGGAGCGCCGGCCTCTTTATTTACTTACTCCTCTTCATCCCCTATGGGTAATAAGGCTGAGAAGAGAACCCTCCATCGTATTTAGTCCTTAGCAATATGATGCGCCTCTCCCCATGTAGGGATGGGTACCGAGCCCCGGTATTAAACGGGCCCGGGCCAGAATTATTAAAGACAGTGGTAACGTTAAGCTCCGACATTATCAGACTTTTTATCGGTACTGGGGACATTTAAATAATATATGTCATATGTATTATTGCTACATACACATCATATCGCAGTTTTAGTTTCACAATAAGACTTTCCAATCCAGACGAGATCTCTCTCTCCCGTCTGTGTGCGAGGGGGCGGGGCCGTTCGTAAAGGTCTCCTGACTGACAGACTGTCATCCTGGTTAGTGGTTACTCTGGGTTCTGTCTTCAGGACAGAGTGTTGGATTGTTTTGTTAATTGGATGGGACTTGATTGGATTCAATATTAGAGTAATCTTCTCGTTTGTGTGTTTGTTTAAATATATTTGGCCTTTGTTTATGTGATTGAATGATTTACTCAAATAAAAAGGTTGATGAATTATCATCTAATGATTTGTATAATGTTTTATTTATGTTAAAGGTCACTTTGAATGATTTTAACTAATGATAATGTAGAAAAACTAACATTTTAAATTCGGGACGGTCCACATTAATTTCGGGACGGCTTAGATTGTATTTCGGGACGGTTCCGGGAGGATGGTGAAAAAAGTTAGTAGAGAGCCCTGGTAACAGGACTCTATGGGCTGACAACTAGACTACTGTGTGATGCAGTGTGTGAGGACTGACTGACCGTCGCTGTAGTCGCTGGAGAGATGCTCCTTGCAAGGTCTGCCACGGGGTCGGACCCCCACCTTCTTGGCGGAGGCCCGGGAGGCGTCGGAGGACTCGGACGTCTCCCGGTAGTTTACCTGCTGACGCTGGCCCCGCCTCAGGCCCCGCCTATTTTTGTCATCGTCGCTGTCAGTCATGTCGCTGAACTGATCAGAGCCTGGAGAGGAGAGAAGACCCTTACTCAAGTGTTTTATCTAAATGACTCTTCTTTCCTCTGCTGAACATCAGGGTAGACTGAATATCTGGGGGCACTATACTGTTGGTAGTACAACAACTTTATTCTCTGGGAAATGAATCAGTCCTTATTACAACTTCTAAAAGCTATCGGTTGAATGTTATGCTTTATATATGCCTGAACACAGCTGCAGGGGCTTTCCATCCATCCTTTAAGTATTCATTCCATCAGCTGGAACAGCTGTGTTCTCACAATATTTATTTTGGATTTCATTAAACACAATCAGTCTACTCTGCAACTGTAATGCAAACCATTCTGTGTTGCCTCACCCATCTCTTCCTCAGTCTCCTCCTCTTCCTCTGAGGAGCGTCTTCGTCGCCGTCTGAGCCGCTTCCTGCCCCGCCGCTGGGTCTTTCCAGGGCGGGGCTTAGGTGCCCCCCCTCCCTGCCCGTTTAGAACGCGACCCGATGTCTAAGCTGCCTACATCGCTGCCGGCATCTTCATCTTCCTCCTCGTCATCATCAGGCCCTGACGCACCAAACTCCTCTTCCTCTGAGCTTTGAGGAGGAAGAGGAAGAAAACATGAAGCAAACAAATGGAAGAAAGTATGTGTGTGTGTGTTTGGTGTGTGTGTGTGTGTGTGTTACCTGTTGCTGAGCATGAACTCGTCTTCACTCTCAGCTGCCGTGCTGTCGCTCTCCAGGTCGTTCAGTCTCCGCCTCTTCCTGTTCCTGGCAGCGTGAGCCTGGCCTCTGATTGGCCGCTGGCTCTCCTTCCCTTCCTCTGATAGGATGGCCGTGAGGTTTCTACCCCGCCGTGCTCCTACATCACAACAGTCCAGGTTAGAGCCGATAGTTACATGTGTTCTCCATCATCTTAATGGGCAAGGTCAATGTTTGTGTAAATATCAGTTTTATTTCCTTGAAGTAGAAAATAGGCAAAAATTGAAATCATCAATAAAAAAGGGTTATCCGTGCATCCCTAACAGATACATAGAGAATACATTTAGAGATGGGAAGTCCAATGGTTCACTGAGTGGATTTTGGTTTATGAAATCTAACCGGGAGATACCAAAAGGTTCTAACACCTACTACTTATCTTACTATAGGGATTTATTAAATGAGGAATATAGATTTATTAAACCATTTTAAAATGTTGGACAAACATTCAAAACATCCTGTAATTGCTCTTCACACACATACAGCTCCTCCCAGCATGTTTTAACTGTGAGAGCAGGACGTGGAGTCTAATACTGGATGCATGCATTAAGGTGTGTCTGTGGTGTTATGCCAGTTGACTGTAATGACTGACTAACACTCATCATTAATGCAGTCTGGAGGAAGACATCTCCTGAATGTCATCATGTTCAGATGCAGAAACTATAAAACCGAGCTTCTGTTAAAACTAGGGCTGTCACGTTAACGCGTTAATAACGCAAAAAATAATTAACGGCACTAATTATTTTAACGCGATTAACGCATGTGTATTTGTTGTCCTCGGCCGCCCCGTAGTTTCAGAGCGCATCGAGTTTAAAATACCATCTACAAAGCTGATGCCTGACAGCCCCGCTCCCTGCCGCCCGCTTGTGGCAGACCACACTTCCACGCTCACCGGCAGGCACCGACTGGCTATTGGGAGGACCGGGAGGGTGTGTGTATGTGTGGCCCGAGCGAGCGAGAGAGAGACCTTACGTGCATTGTTGTTGTTAGCATCTGGTGCTAGCTAGCTGTGCTAACGGATATGGAGCTGTTTAAATGAAAACAGAGGAGCGACATTTCACCACAACTGCGCCGAGCACTTGACTTTATGCAGGAAGCCAGACAGTGGGACATTGTACGAGAAGTCAGCACACTCAGCACGGATAGTGCAACATGATTGCAGCGTCCCAGGCAGCTCCCGTTCGAGCATATGCCTTGAGTTGCACATAGCTCCAACGATCCATCACACACACACACACACAACACACACACACACACAACACACAACACACACACACACACACACACACACACACACACACACACACACACACACACACACACACACACACACACACACACACACACACACACACACACACACACACACACACACACACACACACACACACCACACACACAACACACAACACCACACACACAACACACACACACACACACACACACACACACACGACACACCACACACACACACACACACACACACACACACACACACACACACACACACAAACCACACACACACACCTGTATTGTATGAGAGAGGTTCCAGGTTGAATTGAGGCGAATATTTGTAATGTTCAGAGGTTGTTGTGTTTAATATTCATGAGAATATTTGTCAATGTTCAAATGATAATAAACATTAGCATAAAGCATATTTGTCCACTCATATGTTGATAAGAGTATTAAAAACTTGAAAAATATTCCTCTAAGGTACATTTAGAACAGATCAAAAATGTGCGATTAATTTGCGATTAATCGCGATTAAATATTTGAATCGACTGACAGCCCTAGTTAAAACGTATGACTTCATCACCATGCTCCTAAGAGCTGCTGTCTAAGGGTAGGAATATTAATACAACTTTTAAAATAAAAATCTTAACATATAAACGGTGTTTCTAATTCTGCAGATAACCTCATCACAGCACGAAATGTGCCGCATGTTCCCCCCTCCCCTCACACTCACCCCCACAGAGGTCCCTGATGTCCTCATCTATAGCCTCATCGATGGCATCATCAAAATCATCAAACCTGCAACACACATTTCAGAGCACCTTGTTTGTGTGGCAATATATTTGGGTGAGACAGTGAATGCAACAGAACCCCCAGGCTGCCGGCACACCCACCTGTAGCTGATGTGCTTCCTGGTTCTGGTGGATCTCCTCCCCAGATGTTTGCTCTTTTTGGGATCTTTCTTCTTTGTGGTCTTCTCCTCTTCCACCTCATCCCCCTCCTGAACAGTCAAGAAAAGTTGTAATCTTGATCTGTTTAATAAGGGCTCGTATATATCTGACATCAAACAGATGGGCACCATGTCAGGTCAGTTTGTTCTAAGACATTAGACTGTCATAATGTGTTAGTTTCAATAGCCAGCTTCATTGTGATAACTGCACATTCTGAACGTTAGCAACTCCAAAGTCAATCTTCATATTTAAATGTTAGTGTCAAATATTGGACATTACAGAAGACAAGATGACGTGCTGGACATTACTCACAGGTATGATGTTCTCCACACTGATCCCCACGTACACCAGACGCTCCCGTCCTGGACACACAGGGAGAGACACACACACACACACACACACACACACACACACACACACACAACACACACACACACACACACACACACCATGTTCACTTTAAACACGTATAACTACATATCATTTCATTTTACATTCTGTTTGTGTTTATCCTATTCTATTAACATGTATATAGAGTCCTGCATTTATTTTGTACTCTTACATTCTCGTGACCTGTACTGTATATAGTTTACTTCTGCATGAAGACTTGCATATCGGTCTTGCAACCTAATCTTGCACTACTTTATTCTACTCCGTTTCTTTTTGCACTGTTTGTATTGTTTTATGTCTTATATATACTATGTTGCATTGTTGGAGGAGCCTGGTACTTCAGACTCATTGACATAACTACACTGTAGCTACTGTGTGTGTGTGTGTGTGTGTGTGTGTGTGTGTGTGTGTGTGTGTGTGTGTGTGTGTGTGGTGTGTGTGTGTGTGTGTGTGTGTGTGTGTGTGTGTGTGTACCTCCTCTCTGCTCTCTCTCTTTTCTTCAGAGCACTGTCCAGGTTCAGCAGATGCTCCTCCAGTTTCTCACACAGCAGCTTCTGCAGGGAGGGAAACAAATCAAAACAAATCAAATGCTGGAACACTTCTGGTGTGTTAGTGAACATCGACACTCTTTGATACCACTGAAAGGTGTTCCTAAGCACCGAGTTTTGATCACTTTCTGAAAGTCTGTTCAAAATGAAAATATGATTTGGTGGTTATTTGATGAAAATATTTCCTAATTTATTTGAAAGCATGAAATATTTGAGCACTTTGTTGTCATTTGTTAAATGAATCTCAACATAGCTGAGCTAATATAGCTTAGTAGTGTAGTTCTTGTGTTGTATTGTCTATGAACTATGTGTGTATGCACTGTATGGAAAACCTCAGCCTTATGTCAATATGAAAGCAAAACGAACAATCAGTTCTTAGTCTAATCATCAGAAACTTAAATACATACTTGAGTTTTTACTAGAACATCTTTAAATGCTTTTATGTTCAAAGCACATGTTATTTTCTGATACTCTGCATCTGAATATACAAGTGTTCCCCTCAGTTTGAAGTTTTAGCACATCACCCAAAAACAGCCCACTCTGATTGGTCGGTGTTTGCAGGTGTGTGTGTATCTGTGCACTCTGCTGTCATTCCACAGCTGCACACATATACTTTCATATACACCTGTATATCTGGTGCAGACACATCACAACCTTATGGGGGTCCGGACAGTGTGTTTAAAAGGCTCCGTGTCTTAATACGGGCTGGAGAGTGTATCTATGGACGGAGCCTTTTAAATAGGGCTGTCAAGTTAACGTGTTAACGAAAACATTTTTTAACGCCACTAATTATTTTAACGTGCGATTAACGCATGTGTATTTGTCCTCGGCCCCGCCCCGTAGTTTCAGAGCCCAACGGCTTGACGTGTTGTTGTTGTTGTTAGTTGGATGGTGGAGATTCTAGCAAGAGATATGGATATATAGATCATTCGGATCGCATCCAACGTGTCGACTGCACATCACAGCGCATTATTGTGACCCACAGTGGGAACTTCAGCCTCATGCTTTGACTGCTATGAAGACAGAGGAGCGGCAATGTCGCCAACACTGTAAACAGGCTTGTCTGTTTGAAGCGAGTGGCTCAGTGCAAAGAAGTACACAGGGTTGGGAGAGAGTGTGAGAGGGAGAGAGTCTGAGAGAGAGAGAGAGTGAGAGAGAGAGAGAGAGAGAGAGAGAGAGCGAGAGAGAGAGGTAGAGCGATAGCGAGAGCGAGAGCGAGAGCGAGAGCGAGAGCGAGAGCGAGAGCGAGAGCGAGAGCGAGAGCGAGAGCGAGAGCGAGAGCGAGAGCGAGAGCGAGAGCGAGAGCGAGAGCGAGAGCGAGAGAGAGGTTCCAGGCTGTTGTGTTGAGAATATTCAGGAGAATATTTGTCATTGTTCCATGACAATAAACAAACATTTGCATCAGGCCCGGCTCTACAGGGGTAAATAAGGGTAAATTGTGGTTGAATAACATTGTCTGCTGCATTTATTTGGTCAATTTAAACGGTAAAGTAACGTTATTATGTCAGGTGCGCGTGACCTGTGCCGCTGCGCGTTCGGTCATCTGCAAGGTGCCTTACACAGCAGTCAGTGATGGACATCAGAAAATGGTTAAAAACAACCAGCCCTTATCGCCAGCAGTAACACTGCATCTACTGCAGGAAATAACAGTTCAGATCATGGGGACATTAATGTTATGTCACTGTCGTGGAAACTAACGTCTCCCGCCCGACCTCGCCGGCTTTGCCCGCCTCGCCCACGGAGGCGGAGGCAGCCGTCTTCACCAACCCTCAGCGGCCCGCAAGTGCCAGAGGACCTCGGGTATATTTGAAAAAGTACCCAACTCGCCTGTACAGTGGGGTGAGCTGCTCATTTTGCAGCTCATGGTTTCAAAACAGAGGCTGGCTGGAATATTCATGTGAAAAAGATGCCATCTTCTGCTATGCCTGTAGACATTTCGGTTCAAGTACGTCAGATGCCTTCACAACAACAACTGGCGCCAATGCTCTTATAGGCTACGTGATAAGGGACTGGGAAGGCATGAATCAAGCAAAGAGCACATAGATCCATAGATCTCTTCATGTTGCTCTCAAGTGCACCAGATTGATGCTTTTAACTTCAATATGTAAAATAAAAATCTTCCCGGGGGAGCTTGCCCCCGGACCCCCCTAGAGGGAGGCGAGGACCCTCCTAGAGGAGGCGAGGACCCCCCTAGAGGAGGCGAGGACCCTCCTAAAAGCAGGAGGCGAGGACCCCCCTAGAGGAGGCGAGGACCCTCCTAGAGGGTGTTAGGTCCACTCCCCACTTGTAAAATAGCACTTTACCACTGCACTAGGGCTGTGCAATTAATCGTATTTTAATCGCGATTACGATTATGGTTTGCGACGATTATGAAAAACAGCATAATTGACAAATACGATTATTTGCTGGGTGCGCTTTCGCCCCTCCCTAAAAGCCCACTCGGCCACGTGGGAGTGACATGTGTTGTGAGTGTTTCAGCGCGAGCGAAGATATCAGAACAAAGAGCACAGCAACTCGTTAAAAAGAAGGGTACAACTATTTCCACTATTTGGAAGTACTTTGGCTTTCAGGAGTCCGACGTGGAGCAAAACAAAGTACAGTGCAGGATTTGTTACCAAGGTTGTGTTGGCACCCACACCGCTAACACAACCAATCTCTTTAATCATCTGAATACAACCACAAAGTGCAATACGACCGGGCGGGTAATACAACAAAAAGCAGATGCCGATCGACTTCATCCACCACATCATCACAGTCATCGATTCTGGACGCATTGTACAGAGCAACGGCCTACGCAACGAGCTCGCAGAGACACAGAGATATTACAGGTGCCATTACATTTCACATCGCTAAAGATATGTGCCCAGTTAGCACTGTTAGCAACCAGGGCTTTAACGCAACCTTGTCAACACGTTGGACAAGCGTTACGCGATGCCGTCTCGGTAGTATTATTCAGCAGGTCTGCGCGTGCCTGCACTATATGACAAATGCCGTGGGGAAGTTGAGAGAGATGTGGCTTCAGCTGACTACTTTGCCACCACAAACAGACCTATGGTCTAGCCCAGGGGTGCCCAACCAGTCGATCGCGAGATGTGTCTAAAAATAGAACAACAATATTCTGTTTTATCGTTAATGTCCTGTAACATAATCTTCCTGTGCCAGAATAATGCACTTGAACGCATCAAAGCTTTGTGATTGGCCGGCGTCACCCCATGTGTCGGGGCGTGGCTGAGGGTCTTCAGTACAGGTGGCAATATTGTCACCTGCCTGCGCTCATCTCTGAAACCAGACCATGTCAACAGGCTGGTGTTTCTTGCGAACAATCTTTAAGAGATGACATGAGCAGCCCTACCAGCATGGTGTGACCATGGTGGCCTAAACATTTTTATTTGGTCTTAAATTGTAGTTCAACATTTATTTCCTGTTACTTCTGGACCATGACGGTTGGCCAGCCTTCAACGTTTAACTGAGTGGAATATGTTGAATATGTTTTACCAACATGTTGGCTATATGTTAAGGAGCTTTCAGTAGGTTGTGACAGTGCACTGCATCATATTTGATTTCATTTATTTTGGTCTAATTTATTTTTATTTATCATATTAATAATATATGTTTAGTATGGTTTTGGAAGTGCGCTCCAACATATTTGTTGATCTTGTTTATTGGTAAAATATTATTTGTTTTAAAGCAATGAATAATCGTCAAAATAATCGTGATATCAATTATTGACCCAAATAATCGTGATTATGATTTTTGCCATAATCGCACAGCCCTACACTGCACCCTCTCTAATCTCAGATGCACCCTGAGTCATTTAGTTCTGGAACCGGGTCTGATTTGCATGAAGCATATTTGTCCACCCATATGTTCATAAGAGTATTAAAAACTTAAAAATATTCCTCTAAGGTACATTTAGAACAGATAAAACATTTGCGATTAACTATGGACATCATGCGATTAATCGCGATTAAATATTTTTATCGACTGACAGCCCTACTTTAAATACTTTCACGGTATTCATATACCACCAAAACCTGATCAATAATAGCATGGAAACACACACACACACACACACACACAGCTTACATGTTGGCAGGGTGGACAGAACCACTGTCCGTCTGGAATCAACATGAGTGGCGGCCGCAGACAAGCGGTGTGGTACCCACTGTCACAGGAGTCACACAGCAGGATCTGAGGACACACACACACACATATATATATATATACACACAGTAAAATCCTTCAGGGACAACTCTTTGCATTGATATAAACCACAATATAAACTACTCTTAATACTATGATGGGTAAATGCTGTGGCTACATTTCACTGTGTGTGTGGTGCTGTAGACATGTGTAGCAAATGAGTGTGGATTGGATTCAAATTGGATTTGAATACATTTCAATTTTTCTATTTCACTTTGTTGAAGAACAAACAGCCATGCCTTCACACGGCCTAATAACACTGGATCCAGCCCTTCATCAGTCTGCAGAGACGACCCATCATCATCATCATCATCATCATCATCATCATCATCATCATCATCATATCATCATGGCTGACTCCTTCTGTTGACAGCCTGTCCAATGTGACCTTTGCTGGATCTGCTTCATGCTTCAGGCTTTTCATGTTGGTCTACTTTATAGACAGGGATTTCAAACTCCAGGCAACTTGTGTATTTATAGTGTTAAATATCGTTTCATGCCGTTTTACTACGTGTTCTCTTTATGCAGAGCACAGGGCCTCACTAATGTGACTCTGAGGACCCCCTCTGAGACACCCCTTTGAGACTCTGTGACCCCCTCTGAGACTCCCTTTGAGACTCTGTGACCCCCTCTGAGACTCTGTGACCCCCTCTGAGACTCCCTTTGAGACTCTGTGACCCCTCTGAGACTCCCTTTGAGACTCTGTGACCACCCTCTGAGACTCTGTGACCCCTCTGAGACTCCCTTTGAGACTCTGTGACCCCCTCTGAGACTCCCTTTGAGACTCTGTGACCCCCTCTGAGACTCTGTGACCCCCTCTGAGACTCCCTTTGAGACTCTGTGACCCCCTCGAGACTCTGTGACCCCCTCTGAGACTCTGACCCTCCTCTGAGACTCTGTGACCCCCTCTGAGACTCCCTTTGAGACTCTGTGACCCCCTCTGAGACTCCCTTTGAGACTCTGTGACCCCCTCTGAGACTCCCTTTGAGACTCTGTGACCCCTCTGAGACTCCCTTTGAGACTCTGTGACCCCTCTGACCTCTGTGACCCCCTCTGAGACTCCCTTTGAGACTCTGTGACCCCCTCTGAGACTCCCTTGAGACTCTGTGACCCCTCTGAGACTCCTTTGAGACTCTGTGACCCCCTCTGAGACTCCCTTTGAGACTCTGTGACCCCCTCTGAGACTCCCTTTGAGACTCTGTGACCCCCTCTGAGACCCCCTCTGAGACTCTGACCCCCTCTGAGACCCCCTCTGAGACTCTGTGACCCCTCTGAGACTCCCTTTGAGACTCTGTGACCCCCTCTGAGACTCCCTTTGAGACTCTGTGACCCCCTCTGAGACTCCCTTTGAGACTCTGTGACCCCCTCTGAGACTCCCTTTGAGACTCTGTGACCCCCTCTGAGACCCCCTCTGAGACTCCCTCTGAGACTCTGTGACCCCCTCTGAGACTCCCTTTGAGACTCTGTGACCCCCTCTGAGACTCTGTGACCCCCCTCTGAGACTCCCTTTGAGACTCTGTGACCCCCTCTAGAGACTCTGTGACCCCCTCTGTGACTCCCCTCTGAGACTCTTGTGACCCCCTCTGAGACTCCCTTTGAGACTCTGTGACCCCCTCTGAGACTCTGTGACCCCCTCTGTGACCCCCTCTGAGACTCTGTGACCCCCTCTGAGACTCCCTTTGGGACTCTGTGACCCCCTCTGAGACTCCCTTTGAGACTCTGTGACCCCCCTCTGAGACTCCCCTCTGAGACTCTGTGACCCCTCTGAGACTCTGAGACCCCCTCTGAGACTCTGTGACCCCCCTCTGAGGACTCTGAGACCCCTCTGAGACTCTGAGACCCCTCTGAGACTCTGAGACCCCTCTGAGACTCTGTGACCCCCTCTGAGACTCTGAGACCCCCCTCTGAGTCTCTGAGGACCCCCCTCACCAGTTCGGGTGGTTGGGCAGTCCGCAGTGACTGCAGGCGTCCTCACTGGGAAGCTCCTCTGATTTACACAATTCTTCAGAATCACTCCCTTCTTCACTCTCCCCCTCTCCTCGTTTCCTCCCTCGGTCCTCCACCTCCTCTCCTCGTTTCCTCCCTCGGTCCCTCCACCTCCTCTTCCTCGTTCAGTTTGCGTCTCTTAACACGGATGTTGGACCAGCGGGGGCGCCGGTGCCTCCGCTTACCCTGAACATGAGAGAGATAGTTCAACAAATGAAAACCGAGCAAAGAAAACCCAAGTTGATGTTCATTTCTCACAAAACACATGAAAATAATTACCCGTCGTTTCTTATTTGCCCAACAGGTTCCTTTTTTCCCTCTTTCTTTGTCGTTAAGCTCTGCTCCTCTTCATGCTCCTCTTCACTCTTCCTCCTCCTCCTCCTCCTCCTCCTCCCCCCCTTCCTCCTCATTCTGTTAGAGAGGTGCCTGTGTTTCTTTAGGTTTCTTTCTCTGGCTCTCAGAAGCCTTGGAGCTTGGCCTGCAGTTTGGCAAAAGCAGATGATCTTCAAGAAGAAAAGTAGAGATGGACTGAATTTATTGTCAAAATCAAACATAGTTGTATCTGATACGAAAAAACAAGCAACAAGTTCATTCTGGAGATTTAGAAAAGGGATCGCTAGTGAGCGCAATGTGCTATATCAGAGGAAAGCAACACCATGTAATCCGCTGTCAGTGGGGTGGGGCACACGAGGACAACTTCATAGATACTGCAACACACAGACTTTTGTGTACGCCTGTTCTTCCATTTAAAGACAAGTTAGGTTAAGCTGTAATTATATGTATAGCTCTCTAAAACAGACAAGAAATGGGTATTCATCAGGTCGGAACCACCCCTCTAATCAACCCCACACCTTTATGGAGGGTATTCAACACGTACCTGCAGATCCTGGAGGATCTCCTGAGCATCCTCCCTTCATCTTGCACCTCCTCCTCCCCCCTCTCTTTCTGCCCCTCCTTTCCCCCTTTCCCCCCTTAGCTTGCTCCTGCGATGGGGGGGGATCTTGATCTTCAGCCTGATTCCTTCTTTCTGGAGCTCAGAGGAGGCTTCCTCCAGGGGACCCCTGCCTCTCCCCTGATGCAAGCCCAGTGTCCTTCACCCTGACCTGGGTCCCACAATTGACCCCCCCTCCCCTGCTGCTCCTTTTTCTCCTCCTGGTCAACTTTTCTAAGAGTTGGAGAGATGCTCTCTGGTTCTGCCTCCACCTTTGCCAAAGTGCTTTTATCTTCCTGGTCATCTTTACTTCCTCCTTCTTCCACAGGGCATCCAGACACACTCCCCCCCCTCCTCCCCTCTCCTCACTGCTGTGTCCAGCCTTCCTCTCCCTGTGTTGCTGCTCCTCAGTTACTTGTTGACCCTGGGTCCTCTGCAGTGTGTCCCTGAGGGTCCTCTGAGGGCAGGGCAGTGAGGAGGGGCTCCCTGCAGCGTCAGGCAGAGGAACACATTTCAGGGATGGCAGCGGCTGGTTCATAGGTTGTCTGCGTGTCATGGCTGCAGGAGGCAGGAGGATGCGCTGGCTGCTGCTGCTCCTGTCATCGTCTCCCCCTCAGCAGCCCCCTTCCTCACCAGCACTGACTGCCGGCTCACCTCCCTGTCTTCCCCCCCCCGCTGGTCTAAACTGGGCCCGTTTAGTTCCTGCTGCTCAGCCCCGGTGGCTCTATGGCGCTCCAGCGGGCTGCGGATGACTCTACATGACCTATAACGCCGACCTGACCTATGACCCCAATGACTCCATTGTGACCCTCTTTGTGGGGCGGGGGCAGAGGGGCCCTTCCGTTGCTCAGTTCTTGACTTGATGCAGTGACCAGGAGCTGCTGCGAGGGGGGGGGGCCTTGGCCTGGATGACGGAGGGGTTGCACAACGATGATGCTGCTTGCTGCTGTTCTTCAGGTGGTTACTGAAGCTCTCCGCCAGCTTCACTCCCTCTTCTTCAGTGGTAATCTTGGCCTGCTCGCTGCGAGTGACCACAGCCCGCTCCACTTTCCTCCTCCTTGTTCACTTCCTGCTTTGTCACAGTCGCACCTGGTGCCATGACAACCGACACAGCATTTTTTTGGATTGTCAGTGTCCCTGGATTCTGATTTGATGACGGTGGTTATGGTGCTCACGCGGTTGTCAAAGACAGGTGATGATATGTGTTCTGTCTTCTCTTCCTTCACCTCAGTGTTCCCCGGCTGGGTGTGCTCCAGCTGTATCACTGCACGCAGAGGGACAGAGTGAAACCATTAAAGACAATGTTCTATTCCTCCTGAAACAAAGCATACAGGGGGGTTAACAGATATATGTGATCCAGGTACCTTCTGTTCGGTGTTCCTCTGCCTTTACAAGGTCACCCCCCCCACTGTCAGTGTGTTCCTCTGGGGTCTTGGTGCCTCCAACAGCCTCACCCCCTGAATTGTCCCACACACACACACACAGTGTATAAAGTGTTATATTTGACTTTCTTTTGGCATTTCTTTTATCTTTGGCCTTTAAAAGAGAGAAGTTGTTCTGAGTTCCCTTTTTCTTCGCCTTTGGATTAGATCAGTATTCCCTGCCTAAATGTGATTTCAGTCATTGGAGGAGGTCATGTGTTTGTCAGCAGGATTATGAAAGAAACTACTGCCACAAATGTCGGGAAACTCTGTAAAAGGGTGTAGCACGGGCCAAGGAAAACAATATGTCATTTTGTTCACCTGAATAAAATGGCAGACACACATTAATTGAACTTTGAACTCTTGACTGCTGTATACACACACGAACATCTCAACACGGAGAAGAGGAGAAAACCCTTTTGGTTTAAACAACAACTTTATATATTCACTCCTATGATCTAAACTCCATTCACCTGCACCTGTCTGTGTGGGGCTGGCGCTCCTATCCAGGTTCTGGTTCTGGTCCTGGTTCCTGACTTGTTTGGGTTCAACCTGGCCCTTTAGCAGCTCCAAAGCCTCCGCCAGGTCAGTGCGGTTCCTGAAGAACACAGTTTGGACAAGCGGCTCAAACCCGATAACAACAGGGCAGCAGGATGTGACATGACGCTGCACAGTGTGAGGAGACGGCTTTAAGATGGCCTTAAAGGAATCGTTCATACAACAGTGCAGATTACTTCAGCAACTTTGGACGTCACTCCAAAATAACACATCTTACATCAATTACTCAACTCTGTCTTTCTCTCAAAGAATCAAAAAGAGTTTATGTGGAAGTTTGTTTGAAGTAACTTGTGAACCAAGTGAGTTGAGCGCACGACTGGATGAGACCTGGGTATTACTGCACAAGTTGAGGGAGAATTTGTAAATAGATGTTTAGATATAGTTTTTGATTTTTTTATAATTGCGAAAAGTATAGCTGTGCGTGCAGCCTGAGACATGTGAGACAGTGATACCTGACGATGCACTTCCAGGTGGAGCCGTCCAGGTCGTCCTGCTCCTCCGTGTACAGGCGGATGTTCTGCTCAGGGTCCAGCTGCAGGCCAGTACATCAGGCCCTGCTGGTCCCGGCCTATTGGCTGGAGGCGCATCTTCTCTGGGTCCTCCTCATTGATCGCCATCTTGAACTTCAGGTTGTCATCAAACTGACACTCGCAGAGATACTGATGGAGGAGAAGGTGGAGGACATCAATGTGTTGTTCATTGACTGCAGATGTTTTAGACTTTTAGTAACACTTGTTGCATTGACTAAAAACGGGCATGTCTACTTTTAGGATGCATGGACTTGCACTCCATGGACAACTCCTGGTAGCCCTTCTGTTCCAGCTCCCAGGCCCAGGTGCTGTCAGGCCTCCTGGCACACCTACAGGAACACACCGGTTTAGGATATGCCGGTCAGTACGGAACACAGGATCTGTTTTCATCTCTCAAGTCTCCATCTGTTGACCACTGCAGCAAGCTCTACAGTTAGGTGGATGTTCAATTTACTTGCACACAGTTTTTCTGTACAAATACACATATTTATCTTGCTATAATAACTGCATTCATCTCCACAAACAAACACTCTATCCTTCCTACACAAACTACTTTAGTTGTAGGCTGTGGTCACAGGTAAGGAAACTTGAGAGGGATCGTTTAGATGTTTTGAAGTGGGGGTGTTTGTATTACATACAGTACATGTTGATCTCCTCTTTGGTGAAGCAGACAGGGTACAGGGTTCTACAATTTGTGTTTCTTTTCAAGGGCAAGTTTATGAGCTGAAGTGAAAGTGAGTAGTTTGTTGGTGAGAAAACTCCAGATATATTTACTTAGAAGAGACAATTTAGTCTTATTTTGATTGTCATTTGATTAACCGCTAATAAAGAAATATGTCCAAAAGGGACATCTGAAGGCAAGGGGAACGGTGTGAAAAGCACAACATTTCTTATCTTCTGGGCTGGTATTCCTGTCTGCTTCTACAAACTGGGGTCGTTCGGGTCGCATGTTACTCTAGCTAATCTCTGACTGAGGATATTTAGATCATTCAACCCCACTTCAAAACATCTCAGCTATCCCTTTAAGATGCAGCAAGCACCCTCCGGAGACAGCTCCCTCACTGATGGCTGAACCTGTTTAATCATGTCAAGTGGAGTTGTAAAGCTAAACCCACAACACACACACCACACAACACACCACACACACACACACACACCACACACACACACACACACACACACACACACACACACAACACACACACCACCACACAACACACACACCACACACACACACACAACACACACACACACACACACACACACACACACACTCATTCACACACAACACACACACCACACACACACACACACACACACACCACACACACACACACACACACACACACACCACACACACACACACACACACACACACACACACACACACACACACACACACACACACACACACACGACACAACCACACACACACACACACCACACACCACACACAACACACACACACACATCACCCACACACACACACACACACACACACCACAAACACACACACACTACACACACACACACCACACAACACACACACACACACACACACACACACACACACACACACACACACACACACACCACACACCTTAGCCAGAGTATTTCTCCCAGCGGTCAGTGGTCACAGACCTCCCCAGTTTTCTGAGCAGCTTCACGTGGAGCTCCACCAGGGGTTTAGGAACTGGAAACACACAGGATGATTAGAAAACATAGTACTGTGCATTTCTTTTATGAGGTATGTAAAACAACCAAGTTCATAACAAAAGAGAAGTGATTTAATCTTTAACGTGGGTTCCAGATTCTAAATACTTCTTATGATGAAAATCAGATTTGTAACACAGATTGAACAGTACACAATTTTTTATTTTGATTTCTTTCAGCAGTTTTTGGGAACAGTAATCCAGTGATGACTGGATAAAAAGGAATTTGACTCTGTATGATTCCTATCATGACAGCGGGTGTTCTTACAGACTAAAGCCCTTACGTCGTACTGTATATTTGAGCGCTTATCAGCACAGTTTTCAGTGCTTTATAAAGCGTTGAGATAGCATTACAAACAGACATGTTTTCTCTGCACTGACACTGTCTTATTTACTTTTTGTGCATTAAAGTATCATTTATATAGCTGGTGGCTCATGAGTGTGATGCTGGGTCAACAAAGGTTTACTGTGCACAGGATCTCACAGCTAAATGTTCAATTTCCAGGTAAACCATTTATCACTCTGCCATGTCACACTGTTGTTAAATAAATGCAAATAGTTTGTAATTGTTTATAAAATGATAATTGTCCAAGTATCAACCCATCAGGGTCATTTGTCCCACTTCCGAAAAAAGGTTATAATTCCTTCCCTTTCTCCCTACTCTTTAAATAATGCCAATTCAAATGATTTATTTTACATTTTGGCAGATTCAAAAATATATTTTATTAGAAACATTTGTTCCTGGGGAATGATTTATTGATAAGATGAATGCCTAAAGAAAAAGCCTGACATTAACATGAACCTCATCGCTTTAAAGTACTCTCTACTTCTGCAGGAGATTTGGGGGATTGTACTTAAGTGACATTTCATTTTAGAAGACCCCCATTCATTTGTCTTCATTATTTATTTTAGCTATTCTGCAATATATTTTTTTCAAGATGAAAAGAAATAGTTGTGTCATTATGCATGTCCTGGTTATTGTTGTCATGATACTGTAAACAACTGGCATTTATTACCAGGTCAATAACTAAAATCACAGCCTCGGAGCATTGCATCAACACCTCACTGTGTGGTCTGTGTGAGGCTGTTAGGATACCATGGATTTACAGGAAATGTCAGTTCTCTGTTTTCTAGGCTAAAAAAAAGACAACAATTCAGTGTCAGGAGAAAACGCAGTTAATCAGACCAGAGTTTAGAATGCAATGTGATCATTGTAGCTCACTAAAGAATGTTAGCAACTATGTCTGACTTTATGCTGTAACGTTATGGAAAGTGAGGGCTTACATTAAGCAACATAACTAACGGTAACTGAAAACTGTCCCGCTGTGAGGGCTAACACGGTTTGTAGAGACACAAACATCACAACCTACCGCCTCAGGCATCTCCGTCTTATCCTCAATCACGTCCTCAGTTAACTGAAGGGCTCTGTTGTACTTTGGCTAACAGTTGACGAACTCATCGATGCTAACTAGTTAGCCAGTAGCCAGTCACCATTGCGCATGCGCACACTTGACAGCCTCTCTACCAATGCCTCAAAAAATAACATTCCCTGTGTTCAGCTGTGGCTCAGTTCTGGCAGCCGTCTAAAAGACAGATCCAAGAGAATAGTATCACCACCAGCACAATAATGACGTCCAGTCCGACTGCCTGTGGGGCAAGGCCGGGGGGGAAATAACCACCTGACAACCCTCCGCAGCTAGCTGTGTCTGTGGTGGTGTCACTAGGCAGTGGCTGCATCATGGCTCCCACACCGTCCAGCGTTCACTGATCAATACACAACATTATCGACGTTCTGTCACTTGACTCTGTCCACTTGACTTTTTACCACGGGGATAGCTAGCAAAACTGTTTTACTCCCGCCTGTATCCCTGACTGTAGCACCAACATAGCCCTGAGTGTTTGGGATGTGGATTGGGTTAGCTTGTGTGTTAGCAGTCTGCGTTGTCTCAATATTTACTCAGAAACTTGGACAAAAACTGGTTCTCTTTCGAGGAAAACGGAGTCTGACCCGGCCAAAGAGGTGCCACAGAGCGTGGCTGCTCGCTGATCTAATGGTGCCCTGCCGGGGGGCACTAATCTACATTTTCCACATCCTCCTCATCACGGTGGTGATGGTGGTGGACCCCTTCTCCTTCAGTTTCAAGTGTCGCAGCTTTCTACCACTACTTCCGCCCCACCACCGATCTCTACCTGTCGTTGTGTCCCGCAGATACCTCTCCATCTGCGGGAAAGTCATCTCGGGCAGGTCCAGCACTGCTCCGTAACCGCTCCAGGAACGAACAGACCTCCGCGAAGCTCGGGCAAGCGGCCGGGCGGGCCGGAGCTTCTTCAGCAAGCACCGGAGCAGCATCTTTCCAGGCGGAGAGAAACAGGAGGGGAGGGCGCTGCTGGGATGCGACTGTGTGCGAATGAAAATGATGGAGGGGGTGAAGCGGCATCTACCGGGATCAAGCGGGACAACACGGTAGCATGCTGCTTCCGGTTAGGATTTTCAAATTACCGCCTTGTTCTGGATTCGGTATAACAGAAAACTTAACAAGATAGAACTTACACAAGGTTTCTCACACTATTTCAAAATCATTTTAATGTGTCAGAGACGGTTAGAGAGTGTTGTTTCAATATGTTTAGTGTCATCCTTTGTTGACTCCCATAAAACCGTGTTTTCTCACAGTGTTTTCAATTGTTTAAATGATCGCGATGTCTTTTATTCCCCAAACTGTTTTATGCTTTGAAGATTGCTATTTTTAAAATCTAAAATATGTATTAAATATTAATAAATTATTATTTTAAAATATTCTGAAAGTTGAAATTATACGTTTTCTCTGGATTTGCCTTTAATATTTTTGTTTAAAAAAATATGCGGCGCACCTATGCGGTAACCCTGGACATCATGTATTGCTTGCGACTAATTTAACTAAAGTAAATTCCATCGTTTTTATTATTGTAGGGATGGTCAAGTTTTAGTTCAAACCAGACTGTATGGTTCAAACACATGCATTAAAGTCATATTTTCGGTCTTGAAAGGGGCATCGACTGTAAAATAATAAACTACTATTGAGAACCTCTGCCCTCGTGTACTTCATTGTGGACACACAACCCTTATCTTCCGGTAACACTGGGCATCATGTGCGCGAGCTTGACGCAGCTGGGAGAAGTTGGGAGGACCATGGAGGGTAGAGAGAGAAATGCCCAGAATTCACCGCGATAGAGACACATTAAAACCATTTCAAAATGGTTTTTGCTCCTCAAACGATTCCAAAATAGCTCAATAGCATCGCATGGCCTCAGTCCTCAACACACATTAGTGACCGTAGGTCTGAACAAAAGCATAAAAACTGACGCTGCATCTTGTGTGATTTATTTTTATAATTGAAGCTTTTTATTTATTTATTTTCAAATGGTTGGACCAAATGGTCTGTTCTGTAGGAGCTCAGCACCACTGCATGCTGCGTAGAGAGTCATGCTGCCCAGGAGCACGCTGCCTTTACGGACTGTTGGAAATATTGGCACGTCAGATGGATTTTAGACCCTGTTTTTTGTCTTAAGAGCTCTATTTAATAAGACAGGCTCTTTAAAAAATGTCTTAAATAAGTTAGCATTTTCGATTGCTTGGGGATTCTTGAATGGCGAAAAAACAAACAGTTCCAAGCAGGCCGTCCCTGGGGGGGGGGGGTGCTACTGGAGCCTCGCAGCGGCGAAACCGTGCCGCACCACACTAATTGCGCCGCATAAACGCATAGCTCCCTCCGCAAGATGAGGCCTCCTCCGCGAGGTGAGGCCCCACGCAGTCTGCGTGATCTTCCTGTAGGGAGGGGACGGCCCTGGTTCCATGCCTCGCAATTAGATAGCTCCTTGATGGACCTGGAAAGGCATTATGCAAATAAGATATGTTTATGTTAATTGTGACAGTCCTCTTCCACTATTGCAAGGCTTCCTAAACTTAATAACACACTCATTCATTCTATGAGCTGCAAATAGAAACATGCTCCCACGATGAGTATCAAATATGTTCTCCTCCTGAGACATGACATAAGACTGGCTGCCTTCATTCATTATGTAGAGGCGAGGTAATAGCATACTTATAACCTTTATTTTTTGCTGCTATGACTAATTTATACCTAATATTAGATGTCAAGTCGTTTTGCATCGTGGTTAATATTATTACGGAATACTTTCTTAATGTGTCCTGTTGTTTTTTCAGTGTGTATTTGAAATCTATACAGTTTTTTTATAATATAACAGCTCAGTTGACACAAAGCTTTGTTATTTTTTTTATTGATTTTCTGATTTAATTATTCCCTACATTTCAACCTTTTATGTTTGGTAATAAAATATGAGTCTCAAACTAAAGTCGTTATTTGCCATGGTCAGTAGTGGAATGTAAGTAAACTACATCTATGCACAACGACCAAACTTGAGCACAACATCTAGGTACTTGTAGTAGTTCCAATGTATGCAACTTGATTCCTCTATTGCACTACACTGGCAATAGACTATATCAAGTCTTTAAAGTAGCCCTAACTTTACCAGCTGCAACATTAAAGTGATGAACACATTATTGTACCAATAATTATAATCCTATGATAGAATAGAATATTCAGAAATTCTGCTAAATTAGTATTTACTTTTGTACTTTACTTTTTGAATGGAGGACTATCTTTGCAGTTACATGGATATAAAACATTCATAGTTTATTAAATATTAAGACACTCAGACACTGTTTCCTCAGATGACGGGTTTTCCCCCCCGTATCGGGGGGAAGGTGCTTAACAACACTTCCTCACTGCTCAGCCTCACACACACATGCACACACACACCTGAGAGACTGCGCTGACGGATGTCTCCTAGTTCACAACATGAAATAACACATCTTCACAGTCAACATTCATCAGGATTGGCAACTAGCTGCACTCTACTTTCAGAAAACCAACACCACATTTCTCTCTCCGTTATGGATTTTCACTACAAGTCAAACTATCAATTCAGAATACATTTGGGGGTTTGGCACTTTTCCCGTGACTAATCATCTGAAGAACCAGTTTGAGGCAAGATTTCTGTAGCCAGCAGGGGAATCATAATGGGAATGTTAGGCGGACAAATTATCCACCAATAACCAGTTAACAAGTGTGAAGTATTCCATTATTGCCAGCTCTTCCTTATGGCTCATGGCTACAGAGAGTGCAGAAGTGAGATTTACAATTGGTGTGTTGGATCTAGAGGAATAGTTTAACTTTAACCTTTTGTGAATTACGCTCATTTGTATTCATGTCTCGGAGTTAGAGGTGAATCGAGGAAGCTGCAGGGATGACAATGCTGACAGTTATAAACAAAAGTGTTGTAATGTAACTACATGCATTTACTCAAGTAGGCCTACTGTACTTAAGTAAAACAAATGGGGTGCGTGTTCTTTATTTGAGTATTTTCCAAGCGGAAAACTGTGGGGTAGAGCCGGGAAGCCAATACGGAAGTGCCACACACTGCAGTTCATATATTGGCCGATAGGCGATGGCTGCAGAAAGGACCAATTTCCATAGACCCCCATGTTAAAATGCCCAACTTTACAGCAGAAAAAAACATGTTTCTACCTGGCTCCATACATTTGTATTGTCGATATAGTTAGATTCCACCTTCATGATTATGGATCTGTGAGTGAATTGTTTTCTAACGCGACCCTTTTATTTATATTAGGTCTTAAAGTTTGTGCATAAATTAGGGCGTGGTCACATTGAGTGACGGCTCTGTCAAGTACCTGCCGCTGTTAGCTTCTTGTCTCTCTGCTAGCTGCTCCGTGAAGCTAGCTACAGGGACTCTGCCTGCTCAGTTCATCCAGGGAACACAACTTGTAGCCGGCCGTGGTTGTTTGTTCTTCATGCTTATATATCGGACTATTGTGACTCGCTCTGCGGTTAAAACAGACGGTGCATGAATGCGGTGAGTGAAATTCGAGTGCTTTATTTATGTGTTAATGATTTTAATCAGCTACGTAATGAATGGTAAGGCTTGGGTTAGCATGTAAGCTAGTGGTAGCTACATCGGTGCTAACGATTGTAATCGTAGCCTCCAAGTTAAAATCATAGACTGTATAAAGGTTAAAACGAAATAGACGTGTTAAGTGGGATAATACTGTTGAACAAACGGCTTCTGTTTGAGGTTGATAAAATAAGGTAATCCTTGTAACTTAGAGAGATATTTTATTATGTAGGTAGGAACTGTATGCATCGCTAAGGTTAATTTAAATTGGCTATGCTCAAGTATGTAAACAAGCTAATGTTGAAGTAGTGTATGTGAAATCAACCTCACAATAAGATGTGTGTATATTACAATTATTAATGTCATATTTCAAGATGATTACTTAGATATTACAATATGGTTGGTTGAGCTGGAGTTCATTATCGAGCTTACACGTTAACGTCACAGTCATCTGAAGAACGAACCCAAACCTTGTTGTTTTTATTAATTGCATTACCAAATGGGTATCAAATAAACAGTAAGCATTGGTAACACAACTTCCAAAGTTACAGTAAAATAAAAAGGCCCCTGACTCGGACAATACACAATCCAACATGTTCAACAGAAGAGAATCAGTTATATTGTTTGTACACATGGTACTTTACATATATATATATATCTGTTTGTTTAAGGTGTCCAGGTGATGCAGACAGGCTGGACCAGAGAGTGAGAGACAGAACTGGACTCCTCACAGCAGTGAACTTCAGCTCAGGTACAAAGACTCTTTTTTCATACTGTACAAAGAATCAAGAAAGATATTGGTTTAAATGAATGAAGTATTGACTTGAATACACTGATATACATTCCATTAAACAATACTAAATACTAGATCACCTACACCTACACATCAGTTAAGTTGAGGGTTTTTTCCATGCAAAAAGTTACATTTAGATGTTAACAAGCAATATTACTGTCAGCTTTCTAATTTAATGTATTGAAGGCAAAGATATTTAACACATAGTGAGAACTGCTACTATTTATCTCTCAATATTGTCTGTAAAAAAACGTGGTAAAAGTTATTCTTTCAGTGAGACAACAGAGCAAGCTTCTACAGTTGCACTACGTTTTGATAACAGTTCAATATTATTTTGATAATAACATATATTTCAATGTTGATGAACTTCATACTGTTCATTCATAATCTGATTGTCTTTGTAGCTCATTGTTGAAATAAAAAAAAAACATTACAATTACAAAATAATTATATCTACAGCCCCTAAACACACAAACACACTGCTTTCATAAATAACACACTTGTTCTGCAATAATATGTTTTATGTTTCCTGTCATTTTTGTTAGGAAAGGACATGCCTGAAAGACAGGACATTTTCTCCTTCTCTGAGGGTCAAGAAGAACATCCAAGAGGAACATTAAAAGCTGATGTTATGAGATTTTAAGACCAGTACAGAACATTCACTAAGAAACTACTTTTATTGTAAAAACAGTCAGCTGATCGAATGCAGCTATTTCCACATCTACACTCCATCAGCTGATTATTTCTATTTGCCTCACTTTATGAGCTTCACAACATGTACCTTGTTTTGCAACGTCACAAATAAATGGGGCCAATCTTCAGTCAGATGTGAATGTGTAATCTAACATTTTCAGTAAGAATAATGCAAATACAAATACAATTTATTGAAATGTGAACCAAAAGTTAATCAAATGTTTTAAATAAAAGCACATATGGACAGATGGTGTAAACCTATTAAATGTATTAAACACATTTAGTCAAATAAAGTGACCGACTAGGCCTGTGCAGTTGGTATCAGCTTTGCCCAGCATGGGCTCCTTCATCAGGCCTGGTCCTCCTCGCTGAGGAAAGACCCTCAGTCCTCTCCAAACCAACAGACAGGACGTCCATCACACGGAGGTTTCTCCCTGAAGTCTCTGCAGCTCTCTGGACACCATGCTGTCTCAATCCGTCCACACTGAATATGAGATTGGGAAAATGAAAATAATAAATGCTTTAGACAATAAGAAACATAAAGTTGACTGTTGAGTTGCTCAGTTTTGTTAGATTGTCAATACTATTACTGTATAACTAATATCTCAGGTTAAGAGGAACATTCAAATAAAGATTGGTCTTTAAATACATTTTGTCTTTTGAATTGTTTGTCTAAAGTCAAGGATCTATAACTGGTACTTAGTTTTAATGATACAGTCTGGTTATTATGCTGTTTGGAGGAGGCCTCACAGGTAAGAGCGCTAACTAGCTACCATCACATGTACCTTAGCTTGACTTAAATGTATTAAACGTATAGTTAAGTGATATCAAAATATAAATAACTAATGTCATGCAAACATATTAATATTTGCTTGATTCCAGTGTTGAATTTAGCACAATTGCATACAAACGTTAAGGGGTTTTAAGATTCTGAAGTATTATGTTAAAACTCAATAACTTAGATTATTATTTATAGTTTTGCTGAATAGTTTCATGTCCGCTTACCTTAGAAACGTAAAATGCGACGGCAGCGTGCAGATGGGGAGCATATTAGCTTAGCTTGGTAGCTTCAGCTAGCTCTGGAACTTCCAGCTCGGTGGCAGCAGGTCCCGCCTCGGCTCCGCCTCTTTGCCCTTATTTGGAGCAGGCTGGAGAAGGCGGGAGTTGAACTCTGACGTCACTGTCGAGCCGTTAGTGGCCGGCTCCGCCTACTAAGGGCTTCTCGGCAACTCTGCAGAATCCTATGGGTGACATCACGGACCCTACGTCCATTTATATATACAGCCTATGGTATTTTCACATTAAGCTACTTTATATTTTACTCCACTACATTTTGTTGGCAAATGTTGTACATTACTCCACTACATTTTTTTTACATATTTAGTTACAAGTTACATTGCAGATTTCAGTTATTAATAACAAGTTAAATCTCCATACATTATTATATACGATCATAGGTTAAGCTACACGGAAGTGTTTGAAATATTTCAAATAAAACCCACTTTTACCGAGTTCAAAGGGAAGAGATGAACAAATAAATGCACCAATAATTGTAATAAAACGACCTTTAATTGTTACTGAGTATTTTTACACAGTAGCTACTTTTACTTTAGAAAGTAATGGAGTATTTATTACACCTTTGATAAACACAATCTCAAAATGTGACTCCCCAAATCACAAACTCCCGAGCTCCATACAAATGCGGCATTGCAACTGTGAAATCAGAGCTGTGCATATGCACTTGAACGCATCTGTTTTTAAGGGGACGGAAGGAGCACGGTACAGGAAACACTTCAGTAGAGCTGCTGGATGTGGAGCCGCGGAGGACTGCTGGAATCAGCCACAAGTTATCTGAGCTGCCGCTGACAGCCATGACACTTTAACACACACACTGAGCGGGAGAAGGTCGGTAACGTTCGGTAAGTTCAAGTTCAGTATTTCGTTTAATATGAAATATAATAGGCGAACGTCAGTATTCGTTATTAGCGGGAGTGTGTTGTGCTCTGAAGAGAGGCGGTGTGGAGAGGTGAAGTGAGGTCAGCTAACGGGGGATGAAGTCTGCTCAACGTCAGACTGCCTTCAACAACAATGATTCCCTGGTGGAAAGTAACTAAGTACATTTACTGTAAACACACTGCTAAAGTACAATTTTGAGGGATTTGTACTTTACGTGACTATTTACATGTGTTGCTACGTTGTTCTTTTACTTTATTATTCAGAGGTAAATCTTTTACTTTTACTCCACTACATTTATTTAATACCTTTAGTTTCTTTACAGATCTGGATTAATGATGTGAAATGGAAAGGTTTATGTCAACTAAAAATAATATACACGTTCGTCTAGAATGATAATGCAGTAGATTGAAAAAGAGGAATTGTTACTGCTGCTCAGAAGAGAAAAGCATTGCCAATTATGGACTTTGTTACATTCCTTTTTCATTTCAAGATTACAAAGCATTTGTAGAACTTTTTCTTCTGTTACTTTAATTTAATGAAGGTGTTTATTTCAGAATCATAATTCCTGTATAGTCCCACAGCGGGGAGCTGAACAGGGTTACAGCAACAAGTGGAAGAGCAGATCAAAAAGGCATGCAATAATAAAAAAGAAGAAAAGCACTTTAATAAAAATAAAGACAAATAGGAACACAACCATGGCTAGACAATGAGTAGTAACAATAACAACAACAAAAAACGTGACATAAATAACATATTAACGTAATCTTCTAACAAGCAGTGACAGAACATTGGGTAAGAGCCGGGTGATGAGAACTCTGTGTTCTGTGGCAGGTGGACTGTTTACTGGAGGCCTGCTTTGCATTCAAAGGAACATGTTGATATCCTGCTCAGCTGTTAGTGTGTGCTGCAGGTGACAGAGCAGCGCTGAGATGGCCATCGCACACGTGGCTACAGAGTACGTGTTCAGCGATTTCCTGCTGAAGGACCCGACCCAGGCTCAATATCGCAGCGTCCGCACGGAGCTGGCGGTGGACAAGATGGTGACCTGTGTGGCCGTGGGCCTGCCCCTCCTGCTCATCTCTCTGGCCTTCGCTCAGGAGGTCTCCGTGGGTGAGTGGACCGCCGGGTCAGGACCACAGTCTGTTCTGGCTAGATTAATGCTGTCTGAGTCCGGTTAGTCTTTGTAAACATGTTTTAGCCTTGGCTGTGTCCCGAGACTTTTCACACTCTTAATACACATATCTTGCCTGTTCTCTAGCATTCGACAGACGGTAGGGTTCCACTGTGACCGTTGTCAGGCAAATGATCCTACGGATGTCACCTGCTATAATTATCATGTCTTATTTCCCTTTGTTTCGCATTTCGGTAGGCTGAAATGTAAACGGCTTAGTTGCCTGTCCCCTGTGTTCCTGTTTCTCTGTGTTTCTGTTTCTCTGTGTGACCTGGGTCGGAGGCTATAGCTGCTGCAAACACCCATCCTTCCAGCTGGAATAGACGAATACTGTTAAGTATTTTCACTCTTCATTAAATAACACAACTTTGGTTTAACTTCTATATTTGTTCATTTCTTACCAGAAGGAGTTTAGTTGTGAAATGTAAAAGGTTCATCTTAAGGTTACATCTTAAAATCCTGACATCCTGAAGTGTCAAACCAATGAACAGCCTAATTCATTAACTTTGACAGTCTGCAGATTAAAATGTTGAACTAACATTCCTGAAAAAACTGCCTCATTTCCTCATTTCAGTCAAAGCACTGGTTCAATCCATTTGTGTTGTTGTCTGTCTCCATGGTGCTCAGGGACCCAGATCAGCTGCTTCGCTCCCTCTAACTTCTCCTGGAGGCAGGCTGTGTATGTGGACTCGTACTGCTGGGCAACTGTGCACACACACACTCTACCTCTGTGGCTGCACAAGGTACACACACACATTCCTAAATGGACCTTTATGTTGTAACACTCGCAGCACTCAAACTAGAACAGCAACAACACACATGTTGTGTAGAGACAGATCTGGATCCACTGTGCAGCTTCTGTCACTCAGGTTACTGAAAGAGTCCTCTTCTTTCCTTCTCACGCTATCTCAATCTGTCATTTCAAATAAGAACAAATGTCATTAAACCAAGAGGTTCAACTCCGGTCTAATGTTAAACTGGGCAGTGAAAGAGAACGCCGGGTTGTTTCTAAAATCCAATAAACAAAAACTGACAACTAAAAAGACAAAACCTAAGAAAGAATGAAACATTTAAAAGTATTCTAATATTGCGGTGAACCCTCTATGTTTCTTGCAGTTATTTATTAGCTCTTTTTACTGTTAGTGTATAGTTGTATTATTATGCTGAACTCTGGCACAACAGTTTCCTTGGGGATAAATCAAGTCCTTCGACCCAACATGTTTTTAAAGTGGTCTTCATATTCAAATGAAGTTCTTGGCCATGAGCAGGTCGCATCACGTTGTGCTTGTTTCTGAACTCTTCCCTGAGGAAGTGAGATCACGTGTCAGCTAAAGAGAGGACAGACACTGGGCCTGACGAAGACTTTCAGCCATCTCACTTCCTGTCTCTCCTGTGCAGTTCTTCCCGTACATCCTGCTGCTGGTGGCGGTGCTCATGTACGTCCCGGCCCTCTTCTGGAGGTTCACTGCGGCCCCCCTCCTGCAGTCAGACCTCAGCTTCATCATGGAGGAGCTGGATCGCTGCTACAACCGCGCCGTCACTCTGGCCAAACGCCTGGCCACCGCAGGCCTGCTCGGCCCCGACAGGTAGAGAAACAGCTGGAGGCAGGTCAAAGGTCAGGCTGCAGCCGGCTCAGTAGAAGCAAAGTGAAGAACAGAAGCAGAAAGAAAATCCTGCATTTTATACACAGCTGGCACAGCGTCAAGAGCTCTGCTTTTTCTACTTTCTTGTTTATTTCTAGTCTTTTCAATTGTATTGTACAAGGCCATGTCTTTTTATGCTGCTGCAACTCAAACATTTCCAAATTGGGATCAGTAAAGTACTATCTTATCTTATATGTTTCTCCAAAACACAGTTTATACTGTGAGAGCATTTATTTACTTTTCCAACCCTCTGTTGCTGTTCACTTATCTGAAGGCAGCTTCACTTTGAGCCGGATGAGTGGTACGAGTGTACTACGGCAACATCTGATTTATTATTAATGTCACACTCAAAATTTGGTTTAAAACCTTGAAATGTTTAAACCTCACTGTTTTATTTAAGCGTTCAAATGACAACCCAAGAGTGACAGTTAAACTCAGAGGTTGGTTCATGTGTGAATGATTTCAGAGACAGAGGCCGTTTCTCAATGCAGAATGCTGGGCATTTAAACAGTCCTTCTGCGCCACTCCATGACGTAGTATACTTGAAATAGTTGCTCTGCAGCAGTTTTACTTGCCATTGAGAAACGGCCAGGGACTGAGCACCAAATCCGATCGTTGCCTCTTTTTGAAGATGCAATAGTTTGTACTTCTTCTATATTTATCAAGTTAATCAACAAAAGCAAATCCTCATCCTCTGCTGTTCTCTCCCCCCCACGCAGCGACCCCACTGACGGATGTTTTAACTACCCTCTGGTGGAGAAGTTTCTGATGACTAAGCGCTTCTCGCGCTCCATGCTGTGTTACTACCTGCTGTGCCGGGGGCTGACTCTGGTCACCCTGCTGTGTGCCTGTGTGTACCTGGGCTACTACCTGCGCCTGGCCTCCGTCACCGACGACTTTGGCTGCGAGTTGCGGGTGGGGCTGCTGGCCTCGGACCCGGGGGTCCCGGAGAAGGTGCAGTGTAAGCTGATTGCTGTGGGGGTCTTCTCTCTGCTCAGGTACGTGTCTGTGCAGTGCAGCGAATGAAACTAACAATTATCATAATGATATATGAATCGGCCCATTGTGACTGATTTGATACTTTTAGGGTGCAGTTTTATTTCAAATGTTTTTCTCTCCATTAACCGCAGTCTGTTTCCTTCCCTCTGCTTCCAGCCTGGTGAACTTGGTCCTGTTCATTGCACTGGTTCCCGCTGTGATCTATGCCAGTCTCCGCCCCCTCTTCTGCAATGGACATGCCCGCTTCCTGGAAACCTACCAATCACTGCCCACCGTGAGCATCCTGCCCGCCCCCAGCAGCCGCTGGGACGACCTCTCTCTGTATCTGCTCTTCCTGGAGGAGAACATCAGCGAACTCAAGTCCTACAAATACATCAAGGTCTGCAAGTGTGTGTGTAGTGGCATCCAAGGTTTCCTTTTGCCACTATAGCGGGTTTGACGACACGCAATAAGCAGCCAAAGGTTTTCAGTCAAAAAATGTAATTTATTACAAAAAAGTATTGACTCAAATAGTCTCAAAATAACAACTCTAAATCAATATTTCGGCGATATACTTTCTTATATAAACTATACTTTTCAGTTTGTTTAATTTCCATGTCCTCCAACCAGGCCACAATACATTGGTCACAGTATATAGTAGGGATGCCAGCGATTATTCGAATATTCGTTAGTCTCCATAATGGAAAATTATTTTTAATTATTTTTATTCAATTCGATTTTATTTATGTTTTTTTATGGTTTTTTTTTTCTCCTGGCTTAGTTTCAACCAAAATATAGACTAATGCTAATAATAGTATTAATAACCACCAGTTTGTTCTACTGTAAACTTGGAGGAAGCCAGCAGCGCAGCCCTTCGCTGCGCTGCTACACACCGACCCCGCACCCCCCCCCCCCCCTCTCCGTCACACGTGCGATTGATTTATTGGAGTGAGAACACAACTAAAGATGAACAAAGGAAAGAAGAGCTCCTCGCGGAACTACTTCAAACTGACAAGTGCAAATGAAGTCAAATGCTAGTGGAGTACTTCGTGACCACAGAGTGTGAACGTTGTGATCAGCTGTTTTAGCGCAGTTCTCCAGTGAAGGGGGGGAGTCTCCCTCTGCAGCCAGTTGGCGTAGTTTTGGCACAATTCCGTTGTACAGACCGACGTTAACAGCAGCCCTTTTTCTTTTCTCTCCCGCGGGGGGGGGGGCGTCGAATAATCGATTATTATTCGCCAGGACTGTCCGATCTTGATCATGGTCAGTTTCTGGCATCCCTAGTATATAGCTGTAAAACAGTTACAGCTCGTGATGATTTATTACGATCAGAAGTCTCAGTTTATATCTGACTTTGGAGTATACAGCGATTCCCGGGGGCTACTTCTAATGCAGCCAGGTGTTCCTGGACTGTAGCTCTGCTAACTTGAACAAGTTGAACCTCAGCACTTTGTGAGAGTATAAAAGGTAGTGAGCCATCTAGCAGAGAGGTCCAAATAGTTTGCTTTAAACTGCCAATGGTTGAAATAGTGACAGTGATGTGTAAAAGTGGCTCAGTCAGTAGGGGCTTGGACTGTGAGCCGTAGGGTCGCCGGTTCAAGTCCCCGACCAGACCTAAATATGGAGCGTGGACTGCTACTTGGAGAGGTCCCAGTTCACCTCCTGCCCTGCCGTGGTGGCCCTTGAGCAAAGGCACCGGACAACCCACCCAAACCCACTGCTCCCCGGGCGCTGTACAATAGCTGCCCACTGCTCCTAGTGCTAGGATGGGGTTAAAGCAGAGGTCATGTGTGCTGTGTGCAATTACCATCAAAGAGGTTCCAATCTGATTCTATTCTAAAAGGTGGAAAATAGAAAGTCAGAAGATAATAGTTGAAATAGCTAACATGAAATGATGTTACACAATACAGAGATCAAAACTCACCTTTCTGTGTGGTGTGTGTGTGTGTGTGTGTGTGTGTGTGTGTGTGTGTGTTGTGGTGGTGTGTGTGTTGTGTGTGTGTGTGTGTGTGTGGTGTGTGTGTGTGTGTGGTGTGTGTGTGTGTTGTGTGTGTGTGTGTGTGTGTGTGTGTGTGTGTGTGTGTGTTGTGTGTGTGTGTGTGTGTGTGTGTGTGTGTGTGTGTGTGTGTGTGTGTTGTTGTGTGTGTGTGTGTGTGTGTGTGTGTGTGTGTGTGTGTGTGTGTGTGTGTGTGTGTGTGTGTGTGTGTGTGTGTGTGTGTGTGTGTGTGTGTGTGTGTGCTCTCTCTCTCTCTCTCTCTCTCTCTCTCTCTATCTCTCTCTCTATATATATATATATATGTATATATATATGTATAGGTGCTGGAGCTGCTGAGGAGAGAGTGCTCCGGAGAGGACTTCGATGCCATGGGGCTGCTGCAGACTCTCTGCCTGGTGAAGATGGACACTGTGGATGGGAACAAGCAGGGCAAACAGGATGCAGTAAGGAACTCTGGCAGCAGCCCCTCAGCTGCCAACAGCTCCAGCTGTCCCAACTCCAACCCAGACCCCCACAGCAAGAGGGGGACACAGATGAGAGGTGAGCACATTACATCACATTTAATCTAAAAGAACTCTTTTGTTTCAGGGTCATTTTCCATTTTTTGTTAATCTAAGTCAATTTGGAGAGAAGGTTTTAAAATGAGTTGGAGGTAGAGGAAGTGCCACTGAGACAATAGAACAGAACCGGTGCCCTTCGCCTGCAGGCCTGATGGCATCGTGTCATTCAATGATATTTCATCTAATAACACAAAATGAAGTTTGACTTTAGGCTGTTTGTGCCGGCAGGGCTCAGCAAGGATTTGGATTTTTGGAAACAACCAATGGGCCATGTCCTATATTCTAAATGTTTGTTATGGTCTTGTTTTGATGTAGGCTTTAGGAGTCACAAGCCTTCCTTACAGTTAGACATCACAACCAAACAACTCTTCACAGGTTGATGCTGGGTAAAGCCAAACAATCACTTGTGATTTCTACATGAATAGCTCTGTCTGTTTCCAGTCTTTATGCTAAGCTAAGCTAACCAGACTAACTCTGTACAGACTGTGAAGCCCTCTGGGAAGATTACTTGCTAAATAATTCAACTTGAATGACCCTAAGACCAAAAGCCTAAATAATATTCAGTAACATGCAGCAATGTGTTTTCAGAGCTCACTCCTCTGCTGCCAGGAAACGACCTGATGGGGGGAGGCGGCCACCAGGGGGGGGCGGCCACCAGGGGGGAGGAGTCCGCCGGGGGGGGGCCGGCCGTCCGCCAGCGAGCGCAGTGATGCTGCACTGAAATCATCAGCATCTCATCTTCTACCTTCTTCAAACTAATGTTCATGTTATCAAGGAAGAGTGGAGGCGTGTGATCCTCCTGTCTGTGGGGACAGCTTTCAGGAATCACTGAGTGTGTCATTCAAACACCTTTGGAGTTCAGGATAAAGCACTACAGTACTAAGATGCCACTGTTCTGCCCCCCTATGAATTGTGGGCAATTATGTCGTCAGACTAATTAACTTAAGTAGCTATTGCTGCCCATTTGGAATGCCATGTCATATTATGTTCATGTTAATTCAGATATTAGGTGTTTTTGATAATCCTCTTAAATATTGCCTGTTGCTTCAGATGTTCATCTAAATAAAGCAGGATAGTGAGTGTGCAGTAGAGCCGCTGCCTTAACCTGCAGGATGTGTGGGACAGTATGAAATGGTCTAAATTGCAGTTGTACAGTTCCCTTCAAAAAGAAGAGGTGATATTTATTTGCACTGTCATTGTGGGGTTATGTTCTTTTGATGAGTGATGATCACATTTCAAGACTCTGAGTACAGAGGAACGCAGTGAAGCAGCTTTATTTCAGAGGAGAGTTCTCAATGTTTTGTTTCTTTGAATAGTTTATTCAGAGAAGTTGTTTTACATGTCACGCTACAGCTAACAGCGGTACAAACACAAGCTTTGTGACATTTATCCATTTTTCAACAAGAATGCTTCAAATTGTTCATTCCTAATGTTTAAATGTCAATAAGTATAAGGCAACAGCACATCAAAGGTAAGAGCTCAAAGGATATTCAGCTTTATGTTGATCCATGGGAGTTCATGTATTCTCTTTCGAGGTCTGGATGTCTCCAGCTGGAATTGAACATGTACAGCTTGTTGGGGATCTCAGGGACAGTCACATGACGGTTTACTCTTCTGCTTTGAGCCTCTTCCACTGCTTGTATATATGAACTGCACTAAGTGGAACATTTTTTACATATCATGAAATTGCTGGGGTTATATCGCTTGTGTTTTTTGTATCACTTTTTTACATGATTGGGTCCAATTTCTGTGCATTTAGCCATTTGAATGTAAAGTCTTGGAAAGATACTGATGATCGTTGTTCTATGAGAAAACAGTGTTTCATTCCTGATGTGACTTTGTGATGCTGGAAACTGCTGAATGTTCATTATGACACGTGTAGGACTGCCTGCAGCCTAAGAAATAAATATGGTAGATTTACTGCTGAGTCGTGTGATTACTGTATGGGTTTGACTGAGTGGACTTTACGCAGCGTCTGGACGAAGAGGATAAGATGGTATTCAGTGAAGTGGAGGATAACCAACAGACACATTCAGAGCATAATCAAGGAGGAGCTCTTCACAGGACAACATATATCACAAAAAGCTGGCAGTGCGGTTTTAACCTGCATTCAAGACATAACAAAAAAGTCAGCCTTATTATGCTATAATTAGGGTTGGGTATCGTTTGAATTTCCACGATTCCGATTCCGATTCCACTTTTCGATTCCGGTTCTTAACGGTTCTCAATTCCGATTCTTTGAGGGGCAGGGTAAAAAATGATACATGCTTCTTCCACCAAAAAAATTACATTTATTCGAGAAACTTTTACACAGGTTAGTTTACAGTAATATTCACATGAATCAGTCTGTTTATATTACAACAGTGCAACAGTCTAACTTTGAAAGAACAGTTCTTGTTGAGAAAAACAAGCATATCTGCCTTCTCAGGCATACCGGGAAGAAATGTTTGAACATTTTAAAGTAAAATGCTTCAATCTGGTGCACTTTAAGCAGAATGACTAGAGACTAGATCTAAAGGGTCCGTGTGGCAACACAATACGAGAGGTGAATTATGTCCAATAACGTGTCACCACAACATAGCCATTACATGTCTAACTCCTAATGACAGGAAGGCAGAAAGTGCATTATACAAATAATAATACTCAAAGCAGACATTTTTTAACAATGACCACAATATCATTATTTTAATAAACCAAATATGAACAATTGAGGAAAATGAGGAAGAACTGATGATTCAAATGTTGTTGTACAAGTAGTAATGTAGTTAGTGCATAAATTACTATTGCAACAAATGTGTTAATTTTCTTCATTCTTCCTTGTTTGCTACCGTCGACAGACTAACTAACCCCCCAGTGTCAGTAGCCTCTGAATTTCTATCCACCAGGGCGTGCAATGATTTTGCCTCCTTTTTCACTGACAAAATTCAGAAAATCAGACAAGCAGTCAGTGCCTCTGCATCAGGAACAGCAAATGTGTTGTCCCTATCTCCACTTAACATCAATTCAGACATCATGACACAATTCCATCAGATTAATGATAAAAACCTAGAGGACATTATTCAACTTCTGAAATCCTCCTCCTGCTGCCTTGATATTATTCCAACAGGATTTTTCAAAGATGTTTTGGCCTCAGATCTACTTCATATAGTAAACAAATCTCTTCACACAGGTATTTTTCCACAGGCCCTGAAAACTGCAGTCATTAAACCGCTCTTAAAAAAGAATAATCTAGATGCTTCAGTAATGAACAATTACAGGCCCATATCAAACCTGCCATTTCTAGGTAAAATCATTGAAAAAGTTGTTTTTCAACAGTTGAGTAACTTCTTGCATTTAAATAACTGTTTTGATGTGTTCCAGTCAGGCTTTCGTCCAAACCACAGCACTGAGACTGCTCTTGTAAAGGTCTTTAATGACATCCACTTAAACACAGACAGTGGCAGAACTTCAGTGTTAGTATTATTAGATCTAAGTGCTGCGTTTGACACTGTTGACCACAGCATATTACTAGACCGACTGGAGAACTGGGTGGGACTTTCGGAAACAGTTCTGAATTGGTTTGAATCCTACCTAAAGGACAGAAACAACTTTGTTTCTATAGGTAAATACACATCTGAGTTGACAAATATGACATGTGGGGTTCCTCAAGGCTCCATCTTGGGGCCTCTTCTCTTTAACATCTACATGCTACCACTGGCTCAGATAATGAAGAACAACAAAATAAGTTACCATAGCTATGCAGATGACACACAAATTTACGTAACAATTTCACCAGGAGACTATGCTCCAATTCAAACACTGAGTAAGTGCATTGAACAAATCAATGACTGGATGTGTCAGAACTTTCTCCAATTAAACAAAGATAAAACTGAGGTAATGGTTTTTGGAGCCAAGGCAGAACGTATAAAAGTTAGCGCTGAGCTTCAGTGTGCAATGTTCAAAACAACAGATAAAGCCAGAAATCTAGGTGTAGTCATGGACTCTGACCTGAGTTTCAACAGTCACATTAAAACAGTTACTAAATCAGCCTACTATCACCTAAAGAATATATCTAGGATTAAAAGACTAATGTCACAGCAGGATTTGGAAAAACGTGTCCATGCTTTTATCTTCAGTAGACTCGACTACTGTAATGGTGTCTTCACAGGTCTCACTAAAAAATCTATTAGAAAGCTGCAGCTGATTCAGAACGCTGCTGCTCGAGTCCTCACTAACACTAAGAAAGTAGATCACATCACTCCTGTTCTGAAGTCTTTACACTGGCTTCCTGTGTGTCAAAGAATAGATTTCAAAATACTGCTGCTGGTTTATAAATCACTGAATGGTTTAGGCCCAAAATACATTTCTGACCTCCTGCTAAATGATGAACCATCCAGATCTCTCAGGTCTTCAGGGACTGGTCAGCTTTCTGTCCCCAGAGTCAGAACTAAACATGGTAAAGCAGCGTTCAGTTATTATGCTCCAAATATCTGGAACAAACTCCCAGAAACCTGCAGGTCCGCTACAACTCTGACTACTTTTAAATCCAGGCTGAAGACTTTTCTTTTTGTCGCTGCTTTTAATTGAACTATTCATATCTTAGACTGCACTGTAACTTTTATCCATGTACTTTTTCTTTTAATGTTTAATTGCACTGTAACTTTTATCCATGTATTTTTTCTTTTAATGTTTCTTTTATTAGCTTTTCTTTTTAATGACTGATTTTAAATGCCATTTTCTTAATCTCTTTCATTTTTTGTAAAGCACTTTGAATTGCCTTGTGTTGGAAAGTGCTATATAAATAAACTTGCCTTGCCTTGCCTTGCCTTGCCTTCATTATTAGTCGAATTTTTTTTTGGACGAATGCGCCGGGCCAGTGGTTACAATGGTGGGGCCAGTGATAATACAAGTCCACCGGCCCGGAGTACTTGCGGTAAATCACTAGCACCCCCCCCCCCCGTCGACAATTTACTTGCGGTATTTACTTGCGGTACCGCGGTGGGCCGGCGGAACCGAAGTGGGCCGGTCGAGAGTCCCGGGCTGATTTGTAGTCCCAGTCCGCCCCCGATAGCCTGTGTTGTTTTGTGCGGGGTCTACTAGGGGCTGTACTGGTTATAGTCTGACCGCTGCAGGTATCTCTCCGTGACAGCGGGGGATGGCGTCAGGTCGTTGCGGATACGTAATTTCACATTCTAGCACAGTGTACTGCCCTTATACCTTGATTGTTGCCAACTACGATGCTCAACAGCTCGCTTAACGGAACGTTGACGCTGGTATCAGTTTACCACCAATCACGGGAGTATTGTGTAAAGAAAGTATTGAGTTATATTTCTCGCGCTACCTAACATCCATGAAGGCAACATGACAGAGGGAGGCCTGTCACTCAGGAAGCCAAACTACTCTTTGCTAAGCCCCGCCCCCCCAAGCAACATCAGGGCCAAAAGTCTGAAAGCGAAAAACGATCTGAAGGCGAAAAGCAATGTGAAACCTGAAAAAACAAGATTTGAAACTGAAAAAATAATTGTTTTGAATCTGAAAACGAAAAATCTGCAACTGAAAAAAATAAGGATTCAAATATCAAAATATGTATAAAAGTGAAATCTGAAAATAAATATTTTATTCAAAAAAAATTGCTGAACTGTACGGAAGAGGATTAGGGCCACATAAAAAAAATTTTTGTGAGGATTTGAAAAAAATATTATTATTTTTTGTTCTGAGAAAAAAGTCAGAATTCTGACTTTTTTCTCAGAAATACCGGTAACTGTAGAACCAGCTTCACTGCGATTTACACATTGCAGTAGGCAACAATGGAGGACGTGAGTGAATTTCTGCGCGCCAGAGGGGTCCAAGAGGAAACCATAAGTCATTTTACAACCATCTGCAATGTGTAAATCGCAGTGAAGCTGGTTCTACAGTTACCGGTATTTCTGACTTTTTTCTCCCAAATAAAATGTTATTTTTTTGTTCTGAGAAAAAAGTCAGAATTCTGACTTTTTTTCTCCCAAATTTTTTTTTGTTCTCTCTCTCATACAATAATACAATACAAATGGTGTGTGTGTGTGTGTGTGTGTGTGTGTGTGTGTGTGTGTGTGTGTGTGTGTGTGTGTGTGTGTTTCAGAATTCTGAGATTAAAGTCAGAATTCTGACTTTTTTTCTCCCAAAAAATTTTTTTTTTATTTTTTAAATCCTCACACATTTTTTTTTTATGTGGCCCTAATCCTCTTCCGTAGAACTGAATCAAAAATAATATTCAACCTGAAAAATTATTTCAAATACTTGTTTTTATTTTGAATACATCATTGTATTTTTCAAAGTTCAGGATAAAAACTTGAACTTTCAAATAAATTGTATTTTTTTGAATGATCAAAACTTATGACCCTGAAATAGCTCTATAGGAGTGCTCTCCAGAGATCTGCTCCCTCTCCTGGGGCCACATGACCCTCAAGCCCTGCTCCTCCAGCTATAAGGACTGTAAGGTGTGGCCTGGAGAGAGACCGGGACCAACGTGAGTGGAACCACAACCGCAGTGCCCACAAATACATAAAGTTACATGTGACGCCGCCACAGCATGCTGAGGTTTCCACTCGGGGACGGACTACTGAACAGGCCTCCTGGGGCCCAAAGCGTCACAAACTACAACGAGACACTGGATAAACTGAAAATAAGCACACAACAATGACAAACAAATAAAAACAGATGCTAAGAGACCACAATGAGATTAACAAGGACTAGGACAAAACAACCACACCGACAAAACATAACTACAGAGACACAAAACCAAAAATAAATCAATAATAAAAACACTTGAGAAAAAAACCAGACACAAAATGACCTCAAAGACCCACACAGTGTCTCCACCAGGTGGACACCATAGACTGTATATATGGTGGACACACAACAACCCCAAATAGCCGCAGATGCTCGATATCTACACAACACCTTATAGTCTGTATCTGTCTGGAGGAGAGGTGGTGGGCCCTTCTGTATCTTTTAATCTACCCATGACAGTGCTCACACATTACCCCCCCACCCCCACCCCAAGCATAATCCTGGAGTGCAGCCTGCCGATCTGGAGGAGGTGCTGAAGAAAGGGGTCGACCTGCTGGTGATCGGCAGAGGCATGAGTGAAGCTCAAACTGTCCGTCTGTTCAGTGACTGAGGAGTCCCACTCATCACCAGTGGTGTAAAGTATCTAAGTATATTTACTCATGTACTGCACATAAGTACAATTTTGAGATACTAGTACTTTACTTGAGTATTTTGTTTGCTACTTCGTACTTTCACCCCACTGCTAATCAGAGTTCAATCATTTTTCTTTTACTCAAATACATTAATTAAATGTAATCCCTTTAGTTACTTCACAGATGTGGATGAATGATGTGAAATCTAATCAAGTGTTAAATCTTTAGTCCCACCTGGAGTAAATCCACCAGCTACCCTGCAGTATACAAAGTACTTCAAACTAGCTGCACCTTCACCAGCTTTGAGAACACTTTCATGATCAATCATTATAAAACATATCATATATATTATTCTGAAATGGACCAATCTGCACAACGACTACTTTTACTGTCGCTACTTTCACTATATTTTGATGAGAATACTTTTCTACTTTCACTTGAGGAACATTTTTGAATGCAGGACTTTTACTGTGACAGAGTATTCCTACACTCTGGTACTTCTACTTTTACTCAAGTACAAGATCTGAGTACTTCTACTTTTACTCAAGTACAAGATCTGAGTACTTCTACTTTTACTCAAGTACAAGATCTGAGTACTTCTACTTTTACTAAAGTACAAGATCTGAGTACTTCTACCTCGGGTGATCACTTTCTTTTATCTTATTTCTTTCTTTTTATCCTCAATATCCACTTAAGAAATCCTACTTCCTGTGCGCGCACACACACACCTGGCTAACTCTCATAGATCTGAGCTTTACTCAGCTTAACAACAGACTGAGACAAATAAATGTCCAATGTAGTCTTTTAGATCAAATTGAAGATGTAATATATATGATCGTAGAGGCTAAATGTATTGAATATATTATATATAAGTATAAAGAGCACTTTTTTAACTGTCATGTAAAGGACCGATCATAAGGTGGTGTTGGTGGTGAAAGAGGACTAAATGCAACAACATTCAATCAACACATGAATCGTCTCCAACACACTTCTTTGTCTTTATCAGAAACAATTGTTAAGTACAAAAATATTTCCAAAACAAATGACACACCATTACTACTATGAGGAAGTATGCTTCCTCATACTTCATCAGGAATTATTTTTAAAAGTGCACACATTCTAAAAGAAGCCAAAAGATTTTCTGGTACAGGTTTGAATTTAGTGAGTGAAGCAGCTAGAATCCTCTTGACAGGATCCTCTTGCTCGCCAAGTCTGAACATAGTTGAAGCCGTGTGTGTGTGTGTGTGTGTGTGTGTGTGGTGTGTGTGTGTGTGTGTGGTGTGTGTGTGGTGTGTGTGTGTGTGTGTGTGTGTGTGTGTGTGTTCTGTGTGTGTTCTCAGTTGACCCGTGTCAGCGCCGGGCTGGTTTGGGCATGATGAGGACTTTGACAGGCTTGCTGAACGGAATGGTTCCCTCTACGGCGAGCTCTGGGGGGGGGAGGCCGTCGATGCTGTCGCTCCATCCCAGCCTGGAGGCCGGAGAGGAGGAGAGGGAGGTGGAGGAGGAGCTGTAGGCCAGCAGGAGGCGCACCTCGATCTGAGACGGCTCTGAGGGAGAGGAGGACAAGATGAAGTCACACTGAACACACTGATGAAGAATAGCAAGTTCAAACATTATACTCTTGAGAATCACTGTTTTCAACAAAAGTTACTTTATATGTTTTGTTTTTAGCTAGGTGAAAGTAGCATTGCTGCCAGGGTGGAAAGTAACTAAGTACATTTACTCAAGTACTGTACTTAAGTACAATTTTGAGATCTACATTTGTTGCTCCACATTTTATAGGACTTTTACTTCTTTGTTACTTAGATACAATATTAGAGACATGTTCCACCTCTGATTGCTGCTAATGCGTGGAGAGAGTATCCAGCAGTCAGAGGCTTCACACAACCTTTAGGACGGCACATTTCTAAGCAACATTTGAGTAGGATCAATGGCTGTGCTTTGATGCAGTCTTAATCTTAACACAGTGACACCTATTGAAAGTAAGAAGCTCTTTAAATGCCAGGTGAACAGAGGCTGAGCTGTGTGTCTGACCTGTCCAGGCGCTGTGGGACAGGTACACCTGAGTGATCAGTCTGTGTCTGTCGGGGCCCGGCTTCCTGAAGTCTCCAGGTTTAGGATGGATCACATGACTCTGGCCGTCTGGATACAGAACCTGCAGACACAAGCAGTTCATCCAACCAGCAGTGTTACGTCTGTCATGTGACCAGGAACCACCAATCCCAGGCGGCTCTAAACCAACAGAGCTGTACATCATTGGTTCTAAATCACTGTTACAAACTCAGAAGCAATGACCCACTGCCATTTTCCCTGATCGCTAAATACTTCTTAGACATCTCCAATATCTAACAGCTTGTTACAGTCTATAAAAGATAAGATGGAGCTTTATTGATCCCCAAAGGAAATGCAGGTGTTACAGCAGCAACAGAATAAAGAGAAACACAGAGTGCACATGAGAATACACACAGGGATATTAAGAATCAAATAAAGATAAATAGAAGAATAAACATGTATTAACAGTAGAAACAACAACATTGAAATGTGTTCAACTCTGATCAGGTGAATGTACATATATACAGATATATGAGAAAGGTTCAATATATTGTACATTTAAAGGTGCAGGTACCAGAAAGTGCTCGTTAAGATCACTGAAGACCAGATTTTTGAAGATGACAAAAGCCCACATGCTCAAGTGAGAACTATGAACTGACCTGCACTTTCACCGTGTTCTGGGGGTCCTGGACGTGCTCCAGAGTTGCATCGATGTCCAGGGCCACCACCAGGCCGGTGGTGAACTTCAGCGGGTTGTCAGACTCTCCCGTGGGCTCAATGATGGTGGCTGTCGCCCGGTGGATCTGTCGGCCAGCGGGGGGGATTTCATTAATAGGAGAAAGCTATTTGCTTATCAAACTTCATGACAGACTGCTCAGTGTACCTGCTCCGGCAGGCGGAGCTGCAGCAGGCCGCTCTGCCTCAGGGTGCTCTGCAGGATCCTCACCAGCTCCACCGGCTTACAGGACGACAGCCGGGGCAGCAGCTCCAACAGCTGATCCACAAAACTGTCCTGCAGGTAGGGCAGCTCTGCCAGAAACAGCCTGATCAACACAGAACATAGGAGAAACAGTAAGAGACAAAGGAGGATCATATTCAAATCTATATTAGCCGGCCAAATCCAGTCAGGAGTAGGGAATGCTTCCACAAAAGAAGTTCAACTCTTTATAAAACATAAAGCGGTGGTAGAGAAGCCCATCTAGTCAAAATCTATTTTCAGTAAATTCAACTAATTATATTGTAGTTTCTCTCTTAAGTAAGACAGTTATTCTTAGCCCATTCAGGTTTAAACTAATATGTCAGATCATTCCTCGAGAGACAGATTGGAAGAGAGGATTGAGGAAGAAATAACATTTCTCAGACACAAAAGTAAGGCAAAGGACCGACAGTGAAGACAGACGAGGGATGGATTCAACCGTGGGAGCTGTCCTTTCAAGAGACTCGTTTTCAGGTCATTCACACAAACTCACCGATATCTCCTTCTCCAACTCATTACTTCTTTTAAATGAACGCTTCTGTCTGTGTGATATTTGAAAATGTTCAGTCCTATCTTGCACTGTAGTTGTGCTATAACTTGACGTGTTTTATTGAATCTTTGGCTTTTTTTCCCTATTTTACTGTGTATATTTACTGGGATATAAGATAATATCGGGACTGTTTAAATTCAAATCTCAAATGTCCTAGTTAAGAGTTTGAAAGACAAACCCAGATATATGAAGATCTTACCTCTGAAATGACTCGATGTCCTGCAGAAACTTCTCGCAGCTGCTGATGAGAGGATCCAACCTGAAGAGAAATGATCAAATAAGATTGATATGAATACGTATGTGGTCCACATTAAGTATTACGTTGATGTGATGAGTGTGGTGTGTGGTGTGTGTGTGTGTGTGTGTGTGTGTGTGTGTGTGTGTGTGTGTGTGTGTGTGTGTGTGTGTGTGTGTGTGTGTGTGTGTGTGTGTGTGTGTGTGTGTGTGTGTGTGTGTGTGTGTGTGTGTGTGTGTGTGTGTGTGTGTACACTGACCCCTGCCTGGAGCGAGCAGTGAGGATGAGCTGCAGAGCTTTGGCCTGCAGGCGGACATGATGGATGGTGGCCACCTGCCTGCTCTCCAGACCGCTGTACAGGAACTCCAGCTTATAAGTTTCCTCTAAGATCTGAAACACAAACACACATTCAAACACTCAACCATCTCAGGTGATGCCAGAGTGAGTGAGTGAGTGAGTGAGTGAGTGAGTGAGTGAGTGTGTGTGTGTGTGTGTGCTGACCTGTTGAGCTGCAGCGGTGGCTGTGACGTTCTGTTTGAGGCAGAGAGGGACAGCCATGTTCCACAGCTTCTCCTGCAGAGCCTGGTCACATAAAGCACAGACATCAAGGTCCTGAAAGCAGCATCCTGTTTCCCACGGCAACATCACCAAACGGTTCAGAGCCGGGAGAATGCTGGCAGAGAGCATGGACACAATGGCAGATGGACTGGTTGGTAATATGAGCTGTGTATTTCTTTGTCAAAGCTGTTGACTCATAATGTTGCATTAAATTGATGTTATGACCTCCCAATTTCAAGTAGCATCAGTCTTCACAAATGGAATTATAGTGTAATAGACATAACCACACACACCTTCATGAGCAGCAGCTGGCAGCGCAGGTATGTGGCGCAGAAGTCGGCCGCTCCAGCGAGCTCCGTCTGCAGCTCCCCCAGCCGCTGCAGGTCTCTGACATACACAACACAAATTCACCAAACACTTAGCATTTTTCTAAATAAACACATCTTACATGGGACAAAACAAAGGCCAAACTTTGTTTAAAGTGCTGCTTTTTTTCTTGTGGTGGGCAGAATACATTCTGCATCAATTCATTGTGGAATTAAATATCAATCACATTTAGTATGTGTTTGCACACTGTATATTTAAAGTATATTATTGTGCTGCAAAC